TTACTCTTAGCTAGGTTTCCTAATGGAAACGCCGGACCTCTTCTCAGCTTGAGAGACCCTGCCAGGGGATGAATCTCCCGCTGTATATCGTAGTCCGACACCCAGGAACACCTACCAGCCACGATGAGGCGGTAACCGCTGGGAGCATATGCATATACATATATATATGTATATGTATATATATATACATATATATATATATGTAAATATACAAAGTAGGGACGCCCTTGCTGTCCAGAGCTTTCATGACCGACCCAGTTGCAGCTGAGTCTAAAAGGTTCTCTAAATCGATTAAAATGAGATAAAGCGGTTTCCTGTACTCTGGCGGCATTTCAATGAGTCTTCTTATCGTTTAGATGTGGTCCATCGTACCGAATTGTTTTAAAAATCTTTCTTGCTAATATGACTCTTTCGCCAGTGTTGTTTCAGTCCTGTATAGGTTAACTTGAATGAGGAGTCTAGAGACGACAGACAACAGTTGGGTTAGGCGATAGTTGTCGAGTTCACCCTGTTTGAACAATAACACGGTCTTCCTGGTTTTTCGTTGAATAGGAACTTTGCGTTCTGCGAGGTAACGTGTGAAGAGTCGAGCGAGTATCTTGAAGTGGACGGGTGAATGTTGTTCAGGTGGTCAGATCTTATCCTGCTTGTACTAGGTGTTGTTTGATCGTTTACATACGAAATAGCACGTCGGATTTCGGAATGGAGGAGTGGGACGGTACATCCGCCCTCCTTTATCTCATATGATTACAGCAGGACGTGGCTATTGAAGAGGTCCGAGTGGTAACTGTGAATGCTTTTCTAGATTGATTTTCTTGTTGCTGTTGCTTTTTCATTCGAAGTTGGAGTTCAGTGATCTTGGTTCATCTTGTAACTGGCGAAGTCTCGGTCTGCACGGCGAATACTTTTCATAGCCTTTGTAGCTTAGACCATAACCGTTGTTCTTGTCTCTTTAAGACCATCGTGTATCGCCTGTCTGCATTGTATTGCAAGTTCGGACGTTAATTCGTGGTTGCCTGCAGCTTGTGTAATTGCACGCTGGCGTATCAGCTCGACTGTTTCTGCAGGTAGACGTCTCTCGATGACGTTCGAACTTATTGTTGGTGAACGCAAGAAGTGCTGGGATCCACACAGTGGATATGGTGACGGGTCATGTAAAGTTAAAAAAAAATAACTGGTAGTTTACTCAATAACAAATTGTGGTTTTCTCGGGATGATGGTGAGTTTTCACTTCCTGATTTAAGAAGTCATCCAAGCGCATATCATATAACATAGAGCATATCACTCCGTTGCTAATGAACTTCACCTTGCAAACGAGCCAATCCTGTAGAACGTCACTTGTTTGTATGAAAAATTAGCATTGTGTTGAATTGATTAGAGAGGAATTCAGAAAATCTCGAGGAGTTTAACAGTCAAGGCCACATAATTTGATCATCTCACTAAAAAGAATTTGTAATAGGCATTCCAATTCCAGTTACACTATTAATGAAAAGATAGTGGACGTATATTGAAGGTGAACTAGCTTTTAATTTTTAATTTATTCAACAAAGTGTTTAGACCATGCACGAAAGTTGTTAAAACGTTTAACGTGCATAAATTTGTGAAGGAGGCAGTACTTAACAGAAAATGGAGCACGGTTATCATGTAAATGGTTATATCGATTATAATTTTCTATACTACTGCAAACTGCATTGTGGATCTTATTCATAGTGTTTGATGGAATTTCCCACAACCAAGCATATGTGGGATGTTCTTATTATACAATTTCCCACTGCAAGTTTGTGCTATTGCTGAAGTATCAAGCTATTTTCTACAGATGACTAGTTGTGACAAACTACCAAGAAACATAAGAACTAAGCGAATATCTGAGCATTTAAGAGCTGTTTAGTTCTAAATAGATAGTATTGAATAAAAATTATTAATTAATTAAGAGGAGGTAGTTGTGTCGCGAATAATCCATCATTCACCATAATTTTACGTGCTGTCTTTAACCTTTCGAGTCGACTTATAGTCACTGGATCGACGTAGGAGCCATTTTTTTCTCATTGATAAGCTAACAACAGGTTGTTATCAAGCTTTATTAGGCTAACGTTTCGTCACCCTCGTCTTCTTTAGCGCCGGATTGATTCGAGTCGATTATCGACAGCCACTCATTCTTCCGATGTGGGTCTTCGTGATCGCATCCAGTGGAGCACCACCCGAATGAGATAACTTTAGTTAGTGAAGGCCGTTTCTATAGGACGGTTGTTCATAGTCTGATTGTCCGTTAATAATGAATTGTTTTCCTTCAGATAAGCTATTATGCAGCAGTCGGTATTAGACAGCTTATACATAATGTGCTATTGTAATTCGACTTGCGTTTGACTTTCTAATGACAGCTCAATGTCTGATCGAATCTAAGCATTCTTTGCTTTTGTTGCTGTTTCTTTATGTTCTATATCAAATCCTGTAATTTAATTCACCAAGTTTCACACTTTCTTTAGGTGGCCATTCTACCGTATCTACCAATATTAGATACGGCCAGATGCGCGAGGATCGCGCACGAAAGCGCAAGAACAGTGACTGCGACCCAGCGTCGATGTCCTTATCCGTCGTGGCACCTGCACCATTTTCATTGCCACAGGTGAGTGACGTTACACCATTAAACCAGCGATCAATCATAGGTATGAGTATTACTCTCGCTGAATACGAAACGATAGTATGGGTATTACTATCGCTGAATGCGAACTATGTTGTCCAGAGCAATGACATCAACGACGAACTGTAGCTTCTTAGATGTGAGCGGACAATTTTGTGTTAGTTTTCTATATATGATGGGGTGATATAAAGCAGAATTATGTTAAACTAAACGAATTGCTGTGTAAATGCTAAGAAATGTAATGTGGTACAAAAACAAAAGAATAGAGTGCATCTATGCTTAGGGTAGCTTAATATATCATAGATCCAGGCTAAAAGTGTAGAAGTAAATTCACATCGCCTGATTGATAAAATACGTGACTTGATGTTATCGTTTGAAATCGACCAATTGATACGAGTTGTCTCCCTTACCTCTGCCGCTCTACCGATATCTCGCTATTGATTTTGTAATGTTTAAGCAAAAAAATTTCAACTGTGTGGACTCAGTCAAGTGTTACTTGAAATGTGGTGTATAGACAAAAATACTAGGAGCTTACGTAGACAGTATGCAGGCATTTAAAGACTACTCATGGTAGTGCTGAATATTATCCACTTATAAGAAAGGGAAAAGCTCGCGTTCTCCTTTCTGCGTTTTTTACAATGATTGCCAAGTATTGGTACAATTCAGAGTTCGGTAGAATTATTCCGCCACTGTCGGAGTGCAGGTAGGTTTTAGTTCACAAGGTATATCGGTTTATCTGTTGAGACCGGTACGGTTCACATAACAACATTCTTCGATTTTGTGTCGGCTTCCCTGAGGAAAAAAAGCGTATGTGGGTAGGGAAGAATCTTTTTTTCGCACAGAAATAGGGCGGAATACAGTTCTGCTAAAAGCGAAACAGAACAGAACAAACAGATCGAATATTCAATACATTTGCAGCAACACTTGCTTGTGGGACCGGAGTCATCGAACGTACAGGCTGACGAGCCACGAGCTCTTAAAAGGAAGCAAGATGAACTAATACAAGAGGTAAGTAATAATTATTGTTAAATCAGGTTTGGAGCTTTAGCTTAGAGTACGGTGCAGCAGGTGAGCATTGAAGGAGATTACCGCTATTTTTTTTTATATTTTCGGCTACACTGTGTTGAAGATTACAAAAGCAATTGTTCTATGGTATCTCTTCCCAGAATACGTATATTCACGCGGTTTCGGAAGACCTAAATCTCGATCCTAGTTAAATGAGTTTGTTATCCTGCTGCATTCATTAGCAGTGCAAAACCTATACTAAACTCCTTCGCGTTTCTATTATAAATTTCAGAAGAGTGCGACATGGTTTTAGGAAGAACTTACGTTGAATCATGAAACACTTTTTACAAAGATCTGTTTAAGCAGTAGGAAAATATCGAAAACCGTAGCAGCATTAAAGGATGAGGAGATTGTCAGTGGTGCTACGTCACTACAAGAAAATTCTTTGGATGATCCCGTGCACTCGGGCGCGGTGTTGCTGCGGCGAAGGATATGTGGCAACGCAAACGAGTAGATCAGAAACGTCGGCAACTTATTACTTTATAAATAATAGAATTTAACTGGCATCATCTGAGGTTGACGAAGTTTGATGACACAACACGAATCAATGCATTCGTGCGATTACTGCAGTACGACTTTCCGAGACTACAGTTGTGACGACATTTTTCTTCCCTTTTTCGCTAAATTTCGTTTCACTGTGAGTTTTGCCACCATGATGTTACTCTCAGTTTTAAGTTGTCGTGACATCGTTAGATGAGAGAATTCTGACGATCGTCTGAGTAAACTTAGACTAGATAATATATGACGCTGTAGTTCTGCGTAAATTTCGAATTTGCTATTTGAACAAAGTAATATTGATGCTAAAACATTTTAGCCAGCGAGTATGTCGTCGGCTCCCACAAAGCCGTCAGCACTGGCAGCAAAACTTACCAACAAATTCATCCCGGTGCAACAGAAGCCGACTCGGACAAAAGCCACCGGCGAAGGAGAGTATCAGGTTAGTTCCTCCTATTTTCAATATTAGTTCTACATCAATTTTAGTATCTATAACTATAGCATGGGACTGTTGAGATGACTTTTACACGTTAGATTCTGACGATGTCAAACTCGTGTCTTTAGTATGCTGAATTAAAATGTAGCTGAGCTACGACTACATATGCTTTGCTATGCGATTAATTACTGTTGAAATTGCAGAACAGCCTGGTTGTCGACGTATACTGCCTTCTGTTTTGATTAAATATAGTTGTAAATTGCATTAACAACTGAACAACATAACCGTTTATTATGATTGTCCCGTAAGGAGTCTCAATAATTCGGTTCTATCTGAAGTATTCGTTTTCTGATAACTTCATTTCAGTTGATAAAGAACGAAGTGCTGGTTTCGCCTTACGGAAACCAATACGAGGTGTTGGAGTTTCTTGGAAAAGGAACTTTTGGACAGGTATTCACGTAAATTCCATGTTGTTACAACTTCGAATCAGTTCTGGGAGAGAAACCACTTGAATAACATGATTGCATCTGTTAAGGTGGTAAAAGCATGGAAAAAGGGTACAAGTGAGATCGTCGCCATCAAAATCCTCAAAAAACATCCAAGTTACGCAAGGCAGGGACAGATTGAAGTATGTTATGTTTGCAACTATTGCATAGTGAAGAGCAAGTTTAGGACGCAAAACTGAAAGTTGCGGTAGTTCGTATGTTTTAGAAATTAAATTAATAAGTATGTAGTGAACTCTTAATAAGTCTGGAATGAATATAACAGAATGAAATGAAGCCGTCATATGTGCTCCATGTAGGAATATGCAACCCATTAAAAATAAAAACTAGGAAATGATTTCTGTTCTTGACCCTTGGTAGGTCTTATCAAGTTGCACATTGCTCACTGAGATTATCGGTTGATGGCCGTGAAAGTGGTAGAAGTGGAACTGGAAATGATAGAAGGGAAGATGGAAAGGAAAGGTGGAAAGCATAATCTTTTAAAACAATGATATTCGCGAAAGAAGTCCCCATAAAAAAGTAGGCTTTGTCTGTGCAGCTTTCAATATTCACTGTACGAATTCCAACAAACGAATGGAGATTCCCTTTTGAGTGACTCAATTCCATAAGGGTAGTTTATTATATGGTTTCATATCGTTTCAGGTTTCAATTCTGTCGCGGCTCAGCAACGAAAATGCTGAGGAGTTCAATTTTGTGCGCGCATTCGAGTGCTTTCAGCACAAACATCACACCTGTCTCGTTTTCGAAATGCTTGAGCAGAATCTCTACGATTTTCTAAAACAAAATAAGTTTACTCCGTTACCTCTCAACAGCATTCGTCCAATTGTCCAACAAGTAAGGTTTTCGTCAAATTTTACGACGCGGCAATGAATGGAAGGCGGTGTTCGAAGACAGTGCTTTTCTAGAGTACGGAAATTTAATTTGTTATTGTCCGCCACTTCATAGAGAAATGAATGGAAAATTTCTCAATAAACGTTATATTATAGAGGCTAAACATTATGGGTATCGGTGGTATTAAGTTGTTTTGTATACGCCAATACTCGCCGTCGAGAAAGGCTGAATCTTCAATGGTTGTAATTTAGTCGTAAATGAAGTATGATTGCGATCGGTCTAAGACAATAATGGCTAAGAAAAAGTAATGCTGTTTTCTGTTTTATGATGGCAGTAGTTGCCAAGAAATATCACAACAATCGCGAATTTGAGGAGATTAGAGATAAGCGGATAGAAGCGCGGCTTGTTATATCTGGTAAAATGATGTTTTCTCGTTGAGGAGATTAACGAAGCGAATGCCTGAAGGCACTCAAGCCCTCTCGCTTTTACTGATTTCTATTATTATTATCACTGTTGTTATTTTCTATTATATTGTTATTGTTAATATCATTCAAACACGAGGCAGGCTTTGCCCTAGTTAACCTAGGGACTCCAGGGAACTACAATGGTTGAACCAACATAAACTCCGAAAAAATGGAGATTATGCTGGCACCCGTTCAACCAGTGAGGACGGGCCATCCAAGTAAGTGTAATTCAAACATTGTGACATCGAGTTGGGATGGTTTCCTATACGTCCAGTGAAGTACGGGCCTAAATCAGATTCATTGATTTCAGATGTGTGCGACGATGCGTGTTTTAATTATTTTGACGATTTACTTTGTTGTATTGTCTCTTCTTTCTTACTTTCTTGACGTTTTATCATATATGGTTTAAGTTGTCGCATACATTAGGTTGTATTTTCCAGTTGAAAGGAAAGGACGACGCACGTGTTTTTATAGATTGAAGTCAAGGAAGTTATTTTAAGAAAAACACATGAGAATTAATTAGATAAGACAAATTTGCCGTAACTTAAGGCGGGAGCATTACTACATTGGTTAGAAGCAGAAGTTTGTTTCTTTTTTTCCTGCCGCTTTTTATCAGCATAGTGATGTCAATTTTATGCGCTTTTCTTTCTGGAAAGACAAAACATTAATGCTCAGACGGAGATATGCATGAAATGTGAGATACTGGGCGTTTTAAACGTTTTCTCGAAGTGAATTTTAATTTGTTCAATACGAAAAGTAGCGGGCAGCTGTTCAAGACAAGTAGCCACAAGAGTCCGAAAAAGACCGGAGTATTTGCCGATCAGTGGTTAAAAAAAGGATGAAACTGTCGGCCGGCGTTGATCAACTCTTGAGTGATGCGCCATGCGTTCGACTTCATTAAACATCGCTTGAGATGATTGAATGCATATCTGACCTTTATAACGACTCGCGGTGCCCCACCGATATATCGAGCCAGCGCTGCTATCCTCCCAGACAAGTCTGGCACCAATTTGCCGACCCAGGAGGGTTGGAAGACATGGTGGGCCATGGGGGCGAGGATCGTTTCCACGTGTGTCGCAGAGCGTCTCCAACCACTACGCCACACGCGCCCTTAACCAGTGGTTACTAAGTAACAAGAGTATGTGAATGAAATCTTTATCTAATTACGACTAAGTTTATTTAACAAAAATGCCGTTTCCATTTATTTCGTTGCAACTTTGCGGTTTTGTTCCGAGTCGACAGAGTTGAGATCCTATATTGTGTCATGAAACTAAACTTTTAATCCTGTTATGTACGGCTCAACACTGATCAAAGTTGAACAGGTATTCGCTTATCCATAGCTGATCAGAACAAGTGAAATTGGAACGTGTTCCATTACGGTAATAAATAATGTGTACATACGGATTCTTCTAATCCCTCAAATTCGTTTTTATAATTGTTAATCCTGTTCATTCATTACGCTCATCACCATCTGATTGCATTTTTTTTTCAGTTCTATACAAAACTGTTTAATATGAATTCCAGTTCTTTAGGATCCAGTAGAAATTATAACAAATGTTTAACCAAAAATCTCAGAAGTTCTAACGGAGCGAGGTATCATCGGTTTATTTTAAAGACAGCGGAATTTTATCTATGGAGGTCACGGCAAACAAAGGGGGTGCAAACACCACTGATTAATCGCTTTTCGAGACAAATAGATCTTTCTTGTAAATTTTGCTTGCTAGGTGGGTTAAAAATTGGCTTTGGTCCAGTGTTCTAACACTAAAATAGTATTGGTAAACGTGAGTTTTTTGTTATGCACATCGTTGAGGAAAACGAGAAATGTCTTAATATGTAAGACTAGATATCTTTTTAAGGGACTATATTCTTGTCACCGAATTCCATTCATTCCTTGTCATTGTTCTGGTATCACAAAAGAAGCCTTCACTAAATCTATTTTTTCCAGGTTCTCACAGCACTCTTAAAACTTAAATCACTTGGTTTAATTCATGCTGACCTCAAACCTGAGAACATCATGTTGGTTGATCCCACTAATCAACCTTTTCGAGTGAAGGTTTATTTTTTTACTTCATCGTACTTTTTTGTATGCTTCTGTTATCCTTATGTTTTTTGTGACACTGTAGTCATATTCTTTAACGTGTTCTATTGTCTTTATATCTATCTTTGCACACTACTGTTACAGGTAATCGATTTCGGTTCAGCTAGTCATCGTAGTAAAGCGGTAACAAACACGTACTTGCAGAGTAGGTACTACAGGTTAGTGGTTGGATTCCGCAATTAGTTACTGGTAAAAGCTAGTTAGTTGAAGGGTTATATTATTATAAAATGTTTGGATAGTTTTCAAAAATGGATAGAATATAAAGGCAAAGTTGTAATATGTCTTTAAGTTGATCCTACTGTGAAACTCTGAAGTTGGTAACTGTCAGGAATGTACTAAGTGTCGTTTTGGAAATTTCTGTATGTACTGGCCGGGGTGATTGTAACAGTTTTCGTGCCAGAAACAAAACCATTTAAGCGAACTTCCATCCTTAAATCCAAAAAAAAATTGTCGAGGTGTGAACAAAATTGCTTTCAGAATGCGAAAAGTAGGTGTGTTAATTCTAATTATGTGTAAATCGAAATAGTCAATTAGCTTTTAGTCTATGGCTTACTCTTCGTCTTGTCTAAATCGTAGTTGCTTGGATACTTGGATGACCCGTCTTCACTGGTTGTGCGAATCCTAACACAATTTCCATTCTCGGGAGATTTTCTGGTTTAGCCATTGTGGTTCCCTGGAGTCCCGAGGTCGGTATGGCGAAAGTCTGCCCCAGGTCGTCACCACCACAGGCAGTCGCAGCTGTTGTGGATTAGAGGGAAATGTGTCACCATGTGACTGGTTTGATACTAGGATGGTGGTGGATCTTGGTATTAGTGTACTCTTAGCTGGGCTTCCTGACGTAAACACCGGACTCCTGAGCTTGGGAAACTCCTCTGCCTGGGGGATGAATCTCCCGCTGTACATCGCAGCTCGACGCCCGGAAGCACCTCCCAGCCGCGATAAGGCGACAAACCGTTGGAAGGTTAGGTGTATTTGGTGCATTATCGATATTTTTTGACAATAACTTTGTATGTGAGAATCATTTTTTTGGTTAATTGTGTTGTTGTTCATTTTAGGAGTAACCGTTGAAATCTTTAGGGCTCCTGAGATCATTCTTGGCCTTCCGTTTCGCGAAGCTATAGATATGTGGTCTTTGGGGTGTGTGATTGCTGAGTTGTTCCTTGGATGGCCACTGTATCCCGGAAGCAGCGAGTATGACCAGATCAGGTACAAATACTATCCAAAGTGCCGAGTAGAAAAATGCAGTTTATAATTTGTTGCAGGTTTATTGTGCAAACACAGGGACTTCCTCCCACAGAAATGCTTGAGAAGGCGGCGAAATTGCACCGTTTCTTCAAAGAAATGAAGGTTTATTTCAATAACAATGCTTTGTTGTCTAGTTTTATTGGAGGTTGTTATATTTCCAGGCGGATATGTCTGGTCCAGTTCAACCGACATATTATCGGATGAAAACGATTGAGGAGTACGAAGCTTCTGGTGTTCATGTTAAATCTAAGGAAACTCGTAAATACATATTTACTTTCTTGGATGATATTAGTCGGGTGAGCGCTGTAATGAAATTTGCTATGAATACCTTGCTGTAGTCGGATACCTGCATAATGATTCTTTGGTGGAACTTCGTTCTGAAGGTTTTGAGAAAAACATAGTTATCAACACTGAATGAACTCGCTCTACGTATTGGGTGTAGCTGTTGAAAGTTTAGTAAGTAATCTTAACCTGACCATTATTGGGTCATGGTGTTCTATTTTAATTACCAAGCCTTTCTTCTTTAGATGTGTATTTTCGTTATACGTTGAGAACCCGATGTCAGTCGAGTAACTTAGCTTTCTTTTCAAGGTGTGTTACGGTTTCGAATCGGATCCTATCGAGCAGATCTGTGACCGACTCGATCGGCAGGAGTTCGTAGATATCCTCAAAAAGATGCTGGTGCTAAATCAGGATTTCCGGCTAACGCCGCTTGAGGGTCTCGAACATAAATTCGTTACTATGAGCCATCTTCATGCGTATGTAAATACCAATTAGTGAGTAGTCGTTAGATTTGGTGCTTTCTTTTTGTGCAGGTTTAGTTAAATGCTTACTGAATCATTAATTTTACGAATAGGATGAAGGCATGTTTTCTCGAGTTCGCATTCGAACATAATACGTTTTGATCAGTTTGAGAAATCTTTTGACTCCGTTATTCTCTTCATCCTGTTCTTATTTGTTTGGAACGTTAATTTTTTAGTCCGCTCTACTTAATTATCGCTTATAAACCTTTGATTGTAACTAAAATTCACTTAATTTGATGGACGCTAATTTTCATAGTCATATTTCAATATTAGTGTTGATTCACAGTGCATTACTAGAAATCAGTAGAACTGTTCAGTTCTCCTTTTTCTAAAATAATGAATTAGCTAAACATTTGTCCTTCTAAAAGGTATTTGGGTGTAAATGATTTCCTGTTTTCAGTTTCCGCACAGGAATGAAGCGAATGGAGGTGTGTGTACGTCGACCAACCGCTGTAGTGAATTCTTCATCGCAAATTTTTCGTGGAGCTGATCCATCTACCCCTATAGCGCAGAGTATGTTGAACGACGAATGTGGGAGAAAACATTATTGTTTCCTACCGGGAAAAAATCATCTGTTTTCATCGCCGAATAACAATCGCGTGACAAAGCGTTTCAATAGTGCATCGTTATTTAGAATCAGCGTCATAGACGCCGACTTGGAAATTTTATTACAGAAGCACATGACGGCTCTACAGTAAAACCTTTGGTATAAAGCTATTTTTCTAAGTGTTTATATCGGTAAAAATGTAAATTTAGTCACAAGGTAGTACTGTAAATACCTATATGGGTATTTAACAAAGGTGCTTTTCAAAAGAAAACATCAGTGATGCTGAGATATTTGCAAAACTCCGGATCGCAGGTGTCTGCGGTGGGGAATGAACGCACTATTGTCCTTTCCGGGGAGTAACGCGTTCACCACCACACCATGCGGGTCCTTCGTTTCGCCTGTCTCAGCTAGTTCTGTCGATTTCTGCCATCAGCAGTCACCCGTCGGCGGGATTGATCTTGGGAGCCCAAGTGTTAAAACATCAGTGTGTGAGTAATCCTTTTGCTCATCTCAGGTTTACCTGCAACACTACCAGCTGCTCAGCAGCTAGCACCGACGGCCCAACCTGATCCGTTGAGCCACGTTCTGCATCAGTACCAGACAGTAGCGGCGGCTGCTAATCCGTCAGCGGCTGCTGCCACACAGTATTTTTATCAACCACTAGCAACTTTGTTACCATACAGTAAGTATCGATACATAATTTAACAGGTTGGCAGTCCAAGTGTGCCTTTCAGCTGAATGCCACTTGTAAGGAATTATACATAAGTTGAAACTGACAATACATTCTTTTCTTTTAGAGTTTTCATCGTTGTCAGCGAATGGATTGTATGAATCCAGGTTCTTTCAAGGTTTGCCTGGAGGCTCAGCTGCTTTCGCTGCTGGTTCGCGTCAGCCGCAATATGTATCATTTGCTCCTGCAACTCAGTCCCTTGTACCACAGTTTGTCCCTGTCTCTATCATGGACCCAACAATGCTAGCAGCACAAGCCCAGGTAATTTAATACTGTTTGGTTCATTTCAAGAGATCCGGTGCTGTGTAATCTACATCGCATGGAAACCTCAGTTCCTAAAAGAGTGCTATACGTTTGAGGCAAATGTTAATGAAAGATAGTTAAATTTCCAGATTGTAGTGAAAAGTAGCCTTAATGATGCTTAACTATGAGGAGAACTCGAAACCTCATTTGTTTTGAACTCGCCGCTAGCCTTTTCGAGAGCTCACGTGCTATTCACTACACCGAGCGCGGTCCTTGCTTTGCCCTTCTCTCAGCCTAGTCAATTTTCTTGTTAATGGTTTTGCAAGATTAATAGATGGTATTTCCATTGCTTATTTTTCTCTTGCTAAAAGTACACTTTAATTTGGTTATTTCTAGTGGCAAGGGGCTGCTGCTGCTGCTACTGGATCCCAGCTGCTTTGGCCTGCACCCACGATATTCCCACCGGCAACAGAGCTTTTCATGCCATCTCTTCAAGCCATGGCTTCCCAACGGGCTGCCACACAATTCAATCAGGTTTTTAAGTTTTTCCTACTATGTTGTTATTTCTTTCACTTCTAAACAAACTCGTTTAAAGGTGTTTGGTCCGCAACCAGCCCAGAAGGGGTTTGCTATACCTCCAACAGCTGGATTGCCGCAACCGCAACTTGCCGCTGCTCAAATGGCAACCGCTTTCGTTGTGAGTTTTTTGCTCGTTTATATTATGCCATTTGGGCTACAGGCTTAAAGAGATGGCTCCATTCTTCCCTGTCACTTTAGGATGAGGCTGTTTGGGCGCAACCAAATGCGACTGTTACTTTAAACTCACAAATAAATGGCGCACATCGCCTCCCAGTACGTTCTGATCACACGAAGTGGTGAGATTTTTTTTTGGAATGGTTTTGAATGTTACATCCGTAGTTGAGCCGAGCAATAAATAGGAGATGACAGGGTAATATTTCATTTCTAATTAAACGGGAGTTGAGGATGACAGTACAGATGCCTCAATAACTGCTACATTTTGTAGGATTTCTTCGTTTAGCGGTGTATCAGAGGTGACCATGGCCAGACGGGCGGCAGCAAAAGCAAAGGGAGTCGTTCCATCTCCCGCTGTCTCTGTGATTACAATCAGTTCTAGCGAAGAAGATGAACAAAATGGTAACAGGTCAGTAGAGTCCACAAATTGTGGAACCTATTATAAATTCGGAGGATGTTTGTAGGAAAGTGGTTAGAGCTGCCGTTCAATAAACGAGTCGTCATTGACTCGATCTGGCGTCCTGGGCTCACCAAGTCATATATACTTTTGTGGTGGACAAATTGGTGCCAAACTTGTCTAAAAAGATGACAACACTGACTTGATACACCGGTATTTGGTCGCAATTCATCGCATAGACCAGATATATCACCTCTAAAAATGCTTTTTGAAGTAGAATGCATGGGGAACTCCTCTACCCCTCAAGGATTAATCAACACCGATAGCTTTATCCTTTAATCCTTTATTATGAATTAGGAGACATGGATTGCTGAAATATCGCGTTTATGAAAGTTTCCAACCAAGATTAACTCTTTGAGAACCATGGAAATATGTTTCGACGTGCATATTGGAATTGAAACTTCGAGAAAAGTGTAAATTCTCCCGAAAGTACTTATGCTAATGCTTCATGCTTGGTAATGACGTCGTGTATCCAGATCCATAACTTTCTAAACAAGAGTTTTATTTTTGCTCTTCTAGAAAGTTCGTTTTTGTGATATACGAAAACTTTTAATGTCATTGAATACCTCGAGGAACCTTGTATATTTCAAGATAAGGATGCTCACTTCTTACTTTAACGACCAGTCTACACCATGTTCTTCAGCCCACAACACTGATTCCGTTCTTTTTGTGTTCTAGCTGCTATCTTAAGAGGTAGTCAAAACTGTGAACGGGTTTAGTTGAGGATCTGTCTTCTTTTTCCGAATTGGCATGGTGATTAATGGTGGGGCCAAGCTTTCTTTGGAGATCCGCGATGCAGTATCGAAGTATTCTCATATCTTTAGCGCTAACAGGAACTCAATTGATGTATGTGCGCTTTTTCAGGTCCTTTTTAAAGTTTTTGACAAAAGATGACGACTTCTTCAATATTGGGTTAATGAAAGACTTGCAAACGACCTTACAGGCTCATGGAACAGACTTTGCTTTGTTCCCGTTGAGAGTACATAATTCTCCAAAAACTGGAATAGAAAAGACGAAGTCATATATTAAAAATGAAGAACTTTACTACGTAGCAGCAGCGAAAACTTTTACAATACATTGACGAGCAACACTTTATCATTCTGAGCGAAATCCCGCTAATTCAATTGTCTTCATGTACTAAGTACCTGACGAAAAACGGAACAAATACGTCCGTGGGCGTCAAGAGTCAAGATTTTTTGCTATTCGAACCGAGGAAGGATTTGTATTTTGCTAGAGATCTATTTATTTGTACTAGTTTTTGTTGCGATTAGTAAACTCCACTATGAACTGAGTTGTATAGGTCTAAAATTGAAAGCAGCCGCTTTTTCCGATCTTATAACTCCATGATGAGGTCGTGTCATCATGTTAATATTGGAAATATGGATGTTTTCGAACCTTTCTGAAGCAGTTCTGTCTTCTTCATAAAGGTTCAGTTGAGCCAGTTTAACAATATGTACTCATAATAATCCCCACAACCGACTTTCAATTAACCTCGGCATTGATCATGTAACTCTTCATATTCTTGTTGGGCAAGTGCGAGGTGTTATTTTATTGTTTATTCGAAAACAAGCTCACGTTTCGGCGGATTTCGCCTTCCTCAAAGCCTGGAAAGGTCAAGACGACCGCAATCTACCCGGCCAAACACCTCCATAACCAAACAGAGAAAGTGCTAAACCAAATTCCAATCACATTGAACTCAAAATTGATTCTTTGTAGAATCACCGCTTTCTGTGAGTCTTCCACTGAACATGTCACGTGGTGAGCGTAATGTGCCTCTCGCATCAAAACAACAGTCTTAAATACTGCGCGATATCAGACGTGATATCTGATCTCTTGTAAAGCATGCGGAGACGCATACATTGGCGAAACGGTAGACCTGCGTCCGTATAAAAGAACACCTAGACGGTAAACTTAAAGTTAAGCCAAGTACCCTACTGGGTACGCATAGGACACAGAGACATAACGTGAACGATTTTGAAGTAGAAGTGACGATCCTCGCACAGGAGTTACAAAAAACAAGCGCGCAAAATTCTTGAGGTATTCTGGATTAATTCCAAGAATCCGAAAATGAACCGCAGGGAGGAATGCCTCATTGCCACGCATGATATCGGGCAGTATCTAAGACTGTTGTTTTGATATGAGAGGCACATTACACTTCCATGTTAACTCTGTGCGGTTGGTCTCCACGTGACATATTCAGTGGGAGGACTCATTGAAGGCGGTGGGTATGCGATGAAGCCATTCTGTGTTCAGTGTGATTGAAATCTTGGTTTAGCATTTTCTCTGTTTGGTTATGGAAATGCTTGGCTGGGTAAATTGCGGTCAACTTGACCTTTCCAAGCTCTGAGGAAGGCGAAATCTGCCGAAACGTCAGCTTGTTTTTGAATAAACAATAAAGTAACACCTCACGTTTGCTCAACAAGAATATAAAGAATATGTACTTAATTTAATCAAATCGAACGCTGAGATCGAAAACAGTAGAAAGATGAAAGAATCAGTATCTGCAAAATGACTCTATCAGCTCACTAAATTCTCTACAAATCGAAGGGAAATTCAAAAATCGTTATTTGGATATTTATTACTTATTTGGGTACTTGGGTGGCCCGTATTCACAATTGTGCGGGCCTCAGCATATTTTTCATTTGGCCGGTTATTTGCTGGTTCAATCACTGTGGTTCCTTGGTGTCCCGACGTATGCCTAGCCGTATCTCCACCTTAGGCGCTAGCCGCCCTTGTGAATCAAGAGGAGATTTGCTATCGTGCGACTAGTTTGATACCAGGGCGGTAGTGAGTCTTGGTATTGGTATTTGTATTGGTTTACTCGTAGCTTTACCTCGGGATGAAGGCATCAAACTCTCAGTTTGAGAGGCCTTACTGGGGTGATAAACTCTTCCCTGTAGAAGCCAGTCTCAGGTTTTCAGCCAGATATTGTACTCAATAGGTATGAAAATTTTCAGTTAGGTCGTGAGCGCTGCATTTTACTATTGGATTACATTTCCCAGGGTCTCTATAAAATATCGCCAAAACGCAGAGGTTTGTTTTATCTGGCTAACATTCATGGTCTTTTCTGAGCCTCATTTTCACTCCATTAATGCTATGAATAAGCACCCATCAACGAGAATGATATGGAGACCACGGTTCGGAATTGAACCCAGTTACTCTGAAGTTTTAAGTCCAACTTTCGTTTTTGATGTTTTTCTTTTATAAATGAATGTATCTAAGACCCATAGCATTACTAGTAGTTTGTTAGATTACCTCGCTATAGGTTGTGAATTCAGCATGGTAGCAGAGCCTACCGGCTCGACAGGAATTCGTCGTCCGACGGCCAAGTGCGCTGTGGTCCGTCCGATGGTTGATGTGAAACGGGAACTACCCGACCAGTCTGCATATGATATGGTTGTGCTTGCCGCTGATAGTATGCCAACGGCTGCAAACCTCTGGAATCCGTAGGGTAGTTCCTGTGAGCGATTTCTTTTTCTGTCGAATAGAATCTATAGAAAATAGATAGAACATACACGAAAAGTGTAAGTAATGCATCCTAGAGGGGAATAACAGTCGATGACTCAAATGAGCATTAGTGAGTTAAGTTTGAACTAGTTTCATAATTCCCAGTGTAAAAGCGAAATTTTAGTTCTGGTGGTGTCAGATAAGCGTGGCAAGGTTCTCAAATAAGCGAGTAGTGGTTCCTCATGGGTTCGCGTGGTCGAAATTCACTGATTGTTTTGATGTATATAATAATATGATATATTGTAATATTGTTTTCTGCGCCAGTGTCGCTCATTCACTGTAAAAAGAAGTGTTCTCTTTGACGTAATATTTCGAAGGGTCGTAATTGTTGACGCTCTTTTATTACTTTATTGATTGTGTAAAGCATCTTTCTTCTCATTTTTTTTCTTTCTCTATACAGATATCATTTTTCTCTCCGTTGTAATATTCATTCGAATTTTTCGATTGTATTAATATATAACACTACAGTAATAGTATGTAGCAGTTTTCCAACTACATAGATTCTCTTCCTCATATATAGTTTACGTATCATCGTTATTCCTTCAAAAGGTGTCATCCAGACTAATCCTTGAAGTCATTTTTTCTTTTCCATTAGCTCCTCGTATCATACGAGTTAACGTATTGAAGTTATTTGTTATAAATGGGTGGTAAATCGTGTCCTAGGTGATTCAGTCTCTTTAATTCTTTTTCCTTTTCTCCTTGTCATCACGTGTATTACTATTTCGTTAACAGAAGGCGTCACATAGAGGTGTATAGTTAGCCACTGCTTTATTTGTTATCCCTTTTTCTTCTCTTTTCTTTTTTCCTGAAGATTGCATGTGGTAGATCTGGGTATGATTATGTGTATTACTCACAATGTCATGCTGTGTTGATGTTATAGTGGTGGTGATTTTTTGACGTAATAAAGTTTCCCCGTTTTCGAAGATGTGAGGAAGACTTCCGCTACGCTTGTGAGATTTTCGTCGAGGACTTCAGATTGGTGAAATTCCTGTAATTTACCTTTTAGATATGGGTACGTGTAGCGCAGTGGTCGGAGGCACCTTGCAAAACACATGGGTCCGAACCCGAGGCCCGTGGCTCCCCAAGCCCTCGTTCCTTCCAGGGTCGGCAGATTGTGTCAGACCTGTTTAGGAGGATAGCGACAGTGGCTGGATATATCGGTAGACCACTGCGAGTTATTACAAATCCCAGATATGTATCCAATGACCTCCAACGACGCTTAATGATGTCGAATGAAAGGCGCATCCCTCAGGTATTGATCAACGTCGAGAGCTTTATTCTTCTAATCCTTTGCCCATAAGACCATAAATCCAAAGGTAGTGTGGTTGGAACTGTACTGATACCTACGCTGGAGTTCTGTCACTTTCGTTTGCTGGCAGTACTGCTCGTGCGCAGTCAGATGCTGCTCACGGCCAACCAGACGCCATCCGCATCATCTAGGAGGCATGTTATGCCCACGTGACAACTGGGCAAGTCGGCCGTCATGTGGGCACGCGGGCGTGGCGGTCGCGTCGCGTATCGATTCGAGGCGGCGGCGTACGACGTGATGTTTATGCCGTCGGGAAGAGGTGGGCTGACCGTAATCTGTAAGTTTCCCCCTGTTCGCCGAGCATGAGTAGACCGTATCGTATCGCTCCATGCCACATAGTAGGACGTTAGTCGCCATTTGTACTGAATCACATAACGAGGTATTCACATGAATTTCAGCGGCCAACAAGCTATATCGCTCCCATCTGCTCCGTGTCACTTCTCATTTGCTCGTATCGCTAATATTTCGTAGATCACTTCTACCGTACTTCGCCTGTTCTTGATAAAACGATACAAGCCTGAATTCCAGAGAACGTATTTGTTCGAGTACTGTTGATAAGGGTGATCGTAGAACGTTGCACCAGTTGTAAACAGTTTTGTGAAGGGAATGGGTTAGATCGTTGGATTCTGTAGACTGTTTAATTACACAGATGTTAAATGATACGTGTTCGTCTGGTATCAGTATTCGTCGAGTGCATCTAACAGTTAACAGAAATCATCAACACTTATTAGGTATTTAGGTGATTTTCGCACTGAAACAAGAACTTTTTGTAGTCTGAATTAAACAAGAGCATTTGCAGTATGGTACGGTATTTAAGCGACTTTCACTGCGAAATGAAAGTTCGTTCTGGATGGACTTCGCATTCGATAGTGACCATATGAACCATATAACATACTATCAGGGACAACTTAACCCTCATCTTCTATGACACAAGATTTAGGTGATTTTCACGATGAACTGAAAGTTCATTCTCGAAGGACATTCAATGGTGACTATGTAAACCATATATCGTGCTATCGGGGACACTTTAACACTCATCTTGTACTACATTTTCCTGTTGAACATGTATTGATTACTTTCTACTTAAACGAGCTCACATCCTGTTGTCTCGTAAGAGCGTCTACACTTCTTTCATGTGTGTTTCATTGTTTTGCATCCATAATTCATCGTTAACATAATGAGTACTGATCGAGGGCGACTTTCTTCTTTGGATACCCACCACGCCACCGCGCCTACGATGAGGCTCTTCACGAATGAGGCAGTCTGAAGGCAATCAAATCTTTTCTCAGTTATGTGATTATGCATCGGACACATTCTCGTGTGTCAATATTTACGGCAAATTGTGTCATTTAAAAACACACGTCAGTCAGTGTTTTGAACGAAATAATTCATAGTTCCTTGTTCGATTCGGCCTAGTTCACATTGTTACGTGTCGTCCATCCATCGTCTGAAATTGCCTTTGCCTCTTTCTCTGTCTCGCTCCCACCTCTCCATCTCCATCTCGTTTGTTTCTCGATTTTTACGTTACCGTATCCAACACCGTCACAGTTTGTCTAGCATAGCTGAAATCGAGATGAACATATGAATTTTGAAACGTTACAGTGTTTGGTATGTTTAAACAGTAGATTCGTCATGACTGTGATTTGTGCAATGGTCATTGTGAGCAACCGTTGTCAAGTTGCGATCTGTTGATGTAATGCTCCCCATTAATCATTAAGAGCTATGATCATCAATCGTTCCCAATATTCTCTCTTTTGTCTGATTTTTCGTCTCTATCACTTTTAGGACATTGTAACGTTTCTATACAACTAAAATTACTCATTGCAAGCATGTGTTTGCCGCGATTCTACGAAGGTTAATGACATTTGAAGTGACACTGAACGCACGCCTGCTGTTTTCCACTCTCGTTCCATCGAGTTTTTTTTTTGGAAAATGCAAAGTTTTTGGTCCTTTTTTTTTGGAAAATACAAAGGTAAAGTTTTTGGTCCTTTTTCTTGCTGATTTTTGTTCCAAAGATAATGCTGGAGCTATAGGTTCTGTCCATTTCGATTGTTCTCAACTAAATCCTGTGTTGCAAAGTCTTCTATAAATTAGTTTAAGTATATAGGTTAAACGCCACAAGAATGAAAAGAACAAAGAAAACGAAAAGATATCACAGCATGGCAGGAACTAACTGGAATAGCTGTGTAAATCAAAAGATGTTTCCACCTCTTTCTTGCTTTCTCATAGGTCTATTTCACGGTCTTCCTTCCGGAAGTAAAACTAGAAGTCTTGCAATTTATCCACTCCAAGTATTTTGTAACCTTATATGATGATAATTCCGTAGCACATTTGTGTTCTATTCGTAGTTTTATCTCGACGATCGTGTGATTTTCTATAAATGTCAGTTCAGAGTAATTACATCATTTATCATATCGAAGTCTTTCTGTAGATGACATCTGAACCAAAGAAAGGAAACTGCCTCGTTGCTCGAGCTGTACCGCTATCACTTGGTGGTGCAGTAACACAGGAGCTGGCGGATCATATGGAACAACTGATAATCGATGAGACAAACACTCAGAAAAAAATTGACAAAGTATTATTCGGAAAATTCTTCTTGTTAGAATGGTTGCGTGGGTAACAATTAAATTTTTAGGTCGCAAATAATATCAGTCCGTCGGATTTCGTCACGTTACAGAGCATCAGATCGTCAGCTTTGGCTCGTAAAACGGCAACGACTTGGAAGTTTTGTAGTGGTGGTCCTGCTCTCTTCAACGATCTACTCAATAAAGAACCGGACGAAGTTCGTTCCTTGTTATACCATTGTTAGCTGCTGTCGTACTAAACATTGCCGTACACATTGCTGATTCTGCATCTAATATTTAGCAAGTTCAGAACAGAACTGACGTGAAAGCAGAAGGAGAGAGTAATACAGAAAGTAAGGTGATTGTGGAAGTGCAGGCTGAGAAAACCGCTGGACAAGAGAGGTTGGATGGCGATCTACTTTCACGTGGTCCAGTGAAGAATGTTAGACTACCGAAAACGCATCATCCGTATAACTTGGGTTTGTCTTCGCTTTCTCCAATATCGGCGTTATTTTCATGCGTAGATGTTTATAACGCTGGTCGTTGACCGAAATTTCTTTCCACAGGTGCCGTTCATTATGGCACGGCAGCACAAAGTCCTGTTCATGATTATTCGGTTTTTTCAAATTACGGTGGTGGTTACGAATGTGGGAGCACGTGGACAGACAGTCCAGATATTTTTGGGTAAGATGACGTGCTTATACTGTCTAGAAATTATTTGTATTTGCGAACAACCTTTTACTCTTGCACGTGTACTTGTCCTTTTAAGCTGTGTCTCGTCCTCGTCTCCAGAGTCGCTCGGAGTAGACAATGGTTATCATTCCAGCTCACCAGTGCAGAAATCTCCGCTTCAGACTAGTCCATTTACAGATCACTCAATCACAAAAAATGGTTGGCGTCTTTGAACTGCCCTTGTTGATTGCTACTGACGATGAATCTTTCAGAACTGTCTCGTCTATTGGATTCTTCAGAATTGCCGGATCCATTGGTGGATTTTATTTTGAAATATTCACGTCGTTACACAGAGGAGCAAGCAACTAAAGAGCCGTTGTCTAGTCCGAAACATCGTCCACTATCAGCAGATTCTGGCCTTGATTCACCTATGTCCGCACGTTCTGCTCCAAATGCTAGCCCCGAAGTTCCGACTGGCGGGAATAGGTTTATTTTTGGTACTTGCAGAAATGTACTTCTGTTTATACGTAGATATTGCTTTCTACGCTGCTTAGGCATATTGATTAATTGTTGTGATACGACAATGTGATATTTATAAAAGCTCTCGGTCGTGACCGAGCTTCATGTTTCTATTCAGTGGCCCCACAACGCCATCTTTTAACCAGACACGTCTAAGCCCTAGTAAAGGCCTTGAGTGTTCCGCCAAACAAACTCTTCGTTCTCTTATTCCGGACAGTGAGATGGACGATGCGTGGGCATGGACATTGAAATGTATACAGGTATGATTCGATCTGAACAGATAACCTTCGCGAAGAATCTTGGGGATTCTTTCCTATTTTCTACCTGATTAGTACTTTGTGGATATGAAACTTCTTTACCTGGAGTTCCAGTGGCTAGATTCATGGATCAAATTGAGATCGGACACCATTGGACTAAGTTTTGTCGATGATTTAGGCGAGTGATGTTGAGGCTACTGTACTCTTATCGAGATTTTTAGATGGACATGTCAAACTCTTTTTAGGCTAGATGACTTTAGTGTGAGTTAAACACCCTTTTTACGTCGCAGTTCGATACCTAGGAACCTGTCGACTTTGGTGAGATAGTAAACCTTTGGGGGTGTATAATTGAGAACGCTTTGGTTTTCTGTTCAATATTGTTTTATTCGATAGTTTAATGTGAAATGCAGAGAAATTACAGTTCGCTCCTGGTTCATTGACTCATCAAGATGATGATCGTGACACACTTCTTCATATTGTGATTTCGCACCATGACCTTGCCAAGATTTACTCTTTGGTTGAACAACAACTCAAACTTAGTGATGCAATGGAGCAGCGACCATTCGACGTTCCTAACCGATACAATGAAACTCCAATGTTCCTCGCTGTACAGCAGCAGTTGAAAGAGGTGAAATTTGCACTTAGTGTTATATAAGCCATTATAACTTATGTAAATTTCTTGTTCTATCTTATCTTACCTCTCCCATATTTTTATAGGTAGTCGCATACCTGCTAGAAGTTGGCGCGGATCCAAATGTACAGACGTTGCGTCCAGAACGAGAAGGTGCTATTCATTACGCGTCAACGAGGGGAATGTGTGATATTGTGGAGGTATTCTGATTTAATTTATACCTGGTTTTTAAAGGAATTATGTCTCGCGGAAAGTGTGCTTTCCTCATGCAGTATTCCCGTTTTATTAATTCGTTTGTAGTTGGGCAAGATGGTTTCCCGGTTTCTCTAGAAACTGTTTCCCTTAGTGTTCCCTTGTGTCCCCTTATGCATTAGTGTTTCCAAGGTTGTCACAATAAATAGTCACCAACTACTATCTATCCGGAAATCTCCTGCCTTGTGATTAAGTTTATTGCAGAACGGTGGTGAATTTATGATTCGATTTACTCATAACTGGGTATTAGAATGAATTTATCGGAACATTTCTCAGTTTGAGTGGCTTACACATGGATGTGTCTTGCATGCTATCGTAGAAAAACACCGTAAAGCCCTTGCCAAGATGATATCACCATAGCTAGCCATTGTGGGGGATTTGGATTCCAGATAAAACGTGATAAAAATAATACGTGTTTTTAAATTTCAGATTTTGTGCGCCTCACGAAACCTAAAAATTAACCAATTAAATGGATGTGGTCAGACGGCACTCCACTGCGCAATTGCAAATCACGGTGTTCTTGATGAACGGTTGCAGAAAATTATCGACAATCGCGACGTTATTATCACGCTTCTGAAGGCTGGAGCTGATCCAACACTCGTGGTATGCATAAACTGATCCTTGTTTTTCCCTTAATTCGTGGGCTAGGCTGGTGATTACTAAAGTAATTTTCTTGCATTATAAAAAATTTGATAGGTTGCTCCCATATTTACCGCTGACAATGAAAAAACAGCATCAGACAAGTCTGTAATAGCTGATGTTCAAAAAAGAATAGTCAAGTCTGTAATGTCAGATGTACTAGAAAGAATAACTGCGACTTCTTTCTACACTGAAGTGGTATACGTGTTTTTCGAGTTCCACCTCTTCTATTTACTGCTTTTCGTACTTATCAGTATTTCATGCCTGGTTCAGTAGTCATATGAATCTCTCATGCGTATGATCCCCTGCTGAAGGCATTGGAAACATGAGCATACTGGTGCTTTCACATGCGGAGAAATCAGTTCTCCATGACGTATAAAACTTACTTCATGAACCATAATCTAAATGCACGTTGCCGTCTTCACATTTTTTCACTGTCTTTGTTTTACGCTGAGTTGCTTACGATGCTAAGTGCTAAATTGGTGCTGAAGTCGCGTTCTCTCCTCTTTCGTCACCATAAGCACATGCACTTATTGTTGTTATCATTACTAGCGCCAATCCTAACACACGAATATCCAAGCTACCAGCGATTTCTCATGTAATACACCATACTTGATCATTAATCTGATATATATAGTTCTGTTTTTGTCCGGATTCATCATGTCCAATGTTCGTCCGTAGTTTCGGAGGGTGTCTGAGTGTCTGTTGTATGCGTACCGGTCAGTGTGGGTCACACCGCCACCACGACCATCACCACTTTGTGTTCAATGTTTGCCATAGTCAATAGCTCGTTCTTGTGTAAGTCAGGATTTAATCACGAAGTCATAGATATCTCTTTTTTGATGCAAAAGGAAAATGTTTACACTGGTCATGTTTCGTTTCTTAATGTTTTTACAAGAAAGCTAGGAAAGAAGGCTGTCTAAAAATTAGTTCGTAAGTTAATGGTTTTGTTAGAAACCCATCTAAATATAGGATCAAAATGCAAAACATTCAAAAGTACTGGGGATTTTCGGAAAACTAAACATATGCAGTCGGATAGTGTTCACAAAAGTTAACCTAATTACTAAGAGAACTGATTCCCTAGCGAGGTGGATAAACAGAAAAACATTTCTCTGCACTTTGTTCGTGGTTGTGCACATATGCCTCTTTGGTAATTAGACACGACGTTTAAATTCTATCGTTGTAGATGTTATATATATATATATATATATATATATATATATATATAACAAAACAAAGTATAGATAATGTTGGCGATTTTTCTAGCTTTCAAAGTTCCTACAATTCAGGTCTCGAAGAAATGAGCAAAGATATCATACGTCGTTAGGAGGCGCGTGTGGTGCAATGATCAGGGACGCCTTGAAATACACATGAGGTCTATCCCCGCGCCCAGGTCCACCAAGCCTTTCATCCCTCCGGGGTCGCCAGATTGGTACCAGACTTGTCTGGGAGGATAGCAGCACTGGCTCGACATATCGGTAGCCCACCGCAAGTCATTGCAACGATGCTTAACCAAGTCGAATGCATGACTCATCCCTCAGCTATTGAACAACGCCGAGAGGTTTACCGTTTGTACGTCGTCGATAAGGATCACTAACATCGCAGAAGCATATATGTGCATCATTCGAATATTCGTTTATATAACTGTTGTCGATTTTTTACGTGGATCGGTAGCATTGGGTGGAACAAAGGGCGGTCTGTGCCTATGAACTGTTGAATGCATGGTTCCATTGTACTGCTTCATTGAGAAGTTTTACGGAAAAATCACTTTACTTTGTAGAAATGCAATTCTGAGCTTCTGATTACTATAGTTGTTGAGGAGGTTATGCTATCATGTAAAGTTATTCATCCTATTAATGTTCATATCCACGTAATGAGAAATTTTGCTAGCGCAAGAGCTATCGCATGTAAGATTGGGTTCATTGTTGTCACTCTCATTTATCTGTTTACAATCAAAGAGATGAAAATGAGAATTCAGCAAAGTGGTATCGTTAGTGATGCGATATTGGCATATTAGGCATAGTGGGTAGACATGTTATGCGTGGCGGGTTATATTATCCTGCATTCTACGGAGTGGATTTCTCTAGTAACCCCTCATAAAGACCTGTAGCAAGCAATACTGTTAATGTCTGCTCAAATAATTGCCATTTTCTTTTCTATTCATGAATTTGCTTCGTTTTTGGAGGCGGTTTAGAAAGATGATCTTTGTGGTATTTCTGGATTTCTAATTTATTTGAAAGACAATTGTATTAACTAGTATTGTATAGCGAGTGTGGGACTCTTTCCAGGATGCAAGAAATGGAAGGACAATAGTGCATTATGCTGTTGAGACAATGGATCCCCAGATTATTGAAGTTAGTTCGTATCAGTTTTCTTGCTTACGATATTTTAAAAAGTGCAAACACGTGGTTATTAACATTTTTCTTCTTAAGTTTTCACTCCTCTCTATCTGCTGTATCGATTCAAGTGACATTATAGGTGTTGAAGAACAATGTTGATGAAGATTCCTGGACTGACCTAGTCAATCTGGCGGATTTCAATCAAGAAAAGCCGATGGATATGTTCAAAACCGGCAGATATCTGTCGATTAATGAGTCTACAAGGTACATCATTCGCAAATAAACAATTGCATAAAATAGAGACTTGTTAATTTCATCTTTTTTCACAATCTTAACCCTTTTATTTACTGCCTTTTTCTTTTTAATGGCAGGGTATGTTGCGAAATATAACTCGTATAAAATACAATGCTAGGATATTTGCAAAACTCCGAAAAAACTGCAAAACTTCATCTTTTATATTTGTAGCAGGTGAATTTGCTCAAAATCGTTCTGTTCAGGTCGGAAATCTTCATGACACTGCTCATCAGTGGAGCCAGAATTCAGACAACGTAGACAAGTAGTTATAATCACAAACGTGAATTGCACGACAAATGTGCGTCCATTTACAAGGGAATTCCAGCGAATGTATTCAATTCGATCTCACATATCGAACAAGCTGACCTTCTCTGTTCATATACTGCGTTGATTCTACCGTATAAATTACACCTATGGAAGTTATTCGATGTTATAAGATTCGTGGATTCGGACGTGATGTGAATACTTTGATTTTCACGATGTAGAACCTTGCTGTATTGTTATAGGCTCCTCGCTGTCATGGTCTTTGAGTTCTTGGGGAAGACACATGTAATATTCTTGTTTTTTTCTTGTTTAAATTTAAACATACCTAAGCATACACATTTACGGATCAACGACCTCGTCTGGCTGGTACAAATGGTTCAATACCAGGCGTTATCTTAACATTATATTTGTATTCTAGTTGCATGCATAAGTAATGAAGCATAAAATAAGGAAGCCTTCGGATTTGATCAGTCGATTAGTCCTTGGATTCGCCACGCACTCGACTTCATCAAACATCAGTAGGGGTGACAATGCATATCTGACCTGTACAATAACTTTAGGTGGCATCTCGATGTGTCAAGTGAGTACTGTTTCTCCCAAACAGGTCTGGTGTCATTTAGCCGACTCCGGAGACATGGAGCGCTTGATGGTCCCAAGGGCGAGGTCAAGTAGCCATGAGCGATATTTGACATCAGTATTCGCCGTCGATACTATACTTTCCATCAAACGATTGATATTATTCGTGTGTATGCCAACAGTATTGCTTCCAGGTATTTTGAGAAAAAAAAAAGAAAACGGAGGTGAACTATACATCCTCATTGTTTCTTTGATCGTTTTTTCTTATTACAATGATTGGCTTCGTAGGTGGAGAAAAAAGAGAAGCGATGTCCTCCTTATCGTTGATATGACGGGCTTTCATGATGTATTGATGATGTTGATTACGGATGCGTGTAGGACAAACACGAACAAGCAAAACAATGCAGACAGGCAATAAAAGAAGATCTTAAAGAGAGAAGAGCAGCAGTAATGGCCGAAGCTGCAGAGGCTGAGGAAAGCATTCGCAAAACCCACGGAGGCTTCGCCAATTACAAGATCAAAATGACTGCACTCCGGCTCCCAGACGGAACAGTAACAGAGCGCAGAAATGCAGTGGAGAAAATCATTTACGAATACTACTCGGATCTCTTCGATAGCCACGTCCACCTTCAGTCAAATGAAATAAAGGAGAATGGATATGTTATACCAGCGGTTCTCCGTTGCGCAATCCGACATGCCATTTCGTCGGTGAGCAATCGAACAGCACCAGGTCCAGACAGCACAAGATCAGAACACCTGATGAACATTCCACCAGTCCTCGTAAACACACTGGCTCGACTCTTCACACGTTACCTGTCTGAATGCAAGGTCTCTACTCAGTGGAAGACCAGCAAGACGGTGTTATTGTTCAAGTAGGGTGAACTACACGATATCGGCAACTATCGCCCAATCTGCTTACTGTCTGTCATCTACAAACTTTCCACTTCAGTCATCCTAAACAGGATTGCCAGAACACTGGATGAAGGACAGTCATGTGACCGAGCAGGGTTTCGAAAAGGATTTAATACGATGGACCACATCCACATGGTAGCAGGGCTCACTGAAGTATCGCGAGAATACAAAAGACCGTTCTGTCTCACTTTCATCAATTTACAGAAGACCTTTGATTCAGTTAAGATAGTTGCAGTCTCTGAAGCCCTTGATGTTCAAGGAGTCTCTACTGAGCACATAAAGATTCTTCGTGAGCTGTACAAAAACTTCGCAACCAAGGTATCACTATTCTACAACGATATTAACATTGACGTCAAAAGAGAGATTAGGTAAGGCGATACCATCTCGCCAAAATTATTTGCTGCCACCCTCCAGAATGTCATGCAAACATTGGAATGGGATAATATGGGAGTGAAAATCGATGGTCGGCAGTTACATCATCTTCGCTTTGCTGATGACATCGTCCTTATAACACCAAACATTAGCCAAGCTGAACGTATGCCTGCCGACTTTAATAAAGCCTGTGGAAGGATTGGTCTTCGAGTAAATCTCACAAAAACGATGTCCATGAAGAACGGATTGGTTCAACATTCCCCATTCACGCTCAATGGAACGAATATCTCGAAATGCTCCAGTTATATCTATCTAAATCGGGAAGTCAATATAATGAACGACCTAGCTCCAGAGCTGAGCAGAAGAAAACGAGCGGCTTGGGGAGCTTTCAAGAGCATCGAGGATGTAGTGAAGAGAAAAAAGAACACCCGACTCCTCGCCCACCTTTTCGACTCCACGGTATTTCGTGCCCTAACGTATACGTCAGAAACTTGGTCACTCCGTAAGCAGGATGAAGGGTCACTCAGCGTTATCGAACGCGCAGTCGAAAGGACGTTGCTAGGAGTATCCCGTTCCACACAAGTAAGAGAAAGGATCCGAAGTTCCGATCTGCGTCAACGATGAAAAATCAAAGATGCGGTTCTTTATGCCAAACAGTCGGAAATAAGGTGCACCGGAGACGTAATTTGTATGAACGACAACTGGTGGACGAGTGCTGTTAGTGACTGGATTCCTCGGGATGTCAAATGTACTGCAGAAAGACCACCGATCCGATGGTCAGAGTTCTTCACAAAGAGCCTTGAAGAAAGATATGATGCTCAACGAGTCCCTAGAGCGACCAGAACCCACTGGGCTACTCATGCACGCAACAGGGAAAAATGGAAGATTTACTGGCGCCCGCTCGAGTCACTCGACGGTCAGCGGAGCTACAGGTGATACAGGTGATACAGTGTTTGACACACCAAGGAATCCAGTCGCTAACGACTCCTGCCTATCGGTTGCCGCTTATATGCATTACATGCCCAGCTCAACTCATCTTCGACAACGTGGCGTGTGGAACTTCTTTTAACTTTCGTCGAATTTGTAAACTATAATATGTAAAAAAACAACTTCTTTCTGATAACATCAAATAGAATTTTGGTGAGGTGTTCTCAGTTCTATTCAGAAACTACCGACAGAAAACCACTTTTTGCGAAAGGTCAATAACCGAGTAGCGATGAAATGTTTTTCGTATCGTCCTAAATGTATAACAGCGTTTAGTGATGGTTTAAGGACCTTCGTCGACCTGTACGCTCACCTATTGTGTGCTTAGTGTGAGTTCAGGGCTCATGAACTTTAGAATTTTAGGGAAGGTCGAGCTGCTGCTGTGAATAGTCTATGCTGCCATCGAATGACTATGGTCACGTGGCACATGGTTTTTTCTGGAAGCCGTTTTGCTTCGATGCTGATTGACGCCACTATTCCTTTGTCCATCATCGTTTCTTCTCTTGTTATGAACCATCAATTGACCCTTCATTTAAAAAGTCCGAATTATTCCAAACACTGTACAGTCATCTTGATGTGGAGTAGGTTAAGTAATCATCGAAAGCAATTTTTGAGTGCTTTTTTGACGATGAGGGCATATGAACTGTAGATTCAAAAATTTGAACAAATACGCTTCCAGTTCTATCGTTAAGTGCGTTCCTTCAGACAGTCAAAATCAGCTCAAGTTTCGATTTTCTTTCATTTAGTTTTCTCCACAGGTCCTTCTTCTCCATCCACATCGTTGTGAATCTCTCAGTACTCGCTTTTCTGCTCAATAAGCGCTTTTCAGACTGTTCTTACATTCGACTACACTAGCTATATGCTCTTTCTTTCGCTAAGTTATAAAAAGTTATAGCAAGAACAAACAATATAAGGAGGAAAGCTAGTCATTACCAACATCACTGTTAAAATCAGTGACAGCAGACCGAATGTGATTCAATAGTTGAAAAGAATACTCGAGAACTTGAAGACTCAAGAAATTTACTGAAAGGACTTCGCCTTGTGAACACTTTCACTACGACATTCGCAACGAAGACGAATTCCTCAAGTAGTAGGCAAACAACATGCGAAATGCTCGAAGACCTTTGTGGACGATAAATTCCGCAAAAACGAATTGAATGCAAGAAGTGCTGTGATCAGCAGAGCAAACCTGATGATGGGTCATGTAAAATAAAATAAGTAAATAAAAAGAATATGGCTGCTGCCTTACCAAACAAAATATACTTGGGATGAACGCTACTTAGAGCAGTTTTTTTTTTGGAGAAGAATTGAAACAACGGCGATTATCATATCAAATTGCGAGTTACCATGGATGGCCCTGGTCGTCATGACAAATTAAGAGAGCTGCTCACCCTGTTCGTTCAATTCTGTTCCGTGTGTCCCAATGTGTAGTTCTTCAGACGCTCTTCTTGGTGCAATCTTGGCGTTAAAATCTCCAATGATGACCTTGAAGAATGTGTGGTCTTCTCTGTAGAACTTCTCCAAGTCCATATAGAACCCTTCGACTCCTTCTTCGTCATAGTTTGATGTCGGCGCGTAAACGGCGAAGATTGTCAAACCCGGAATTGATCCACATCTTTTTAATCGTGAACGTCCGATTTGGGTTGTAAGTTGTTCGAAAGAATCGATGTTCGTGGACGAACTCGTGTTGACGAGAACGTCGACGCCGCCGATTCCTCTACTGTCGCGTATTCCGAGGAACAGTTCTTCTCCGGTGTTTTACACGGCATTGAAAGGCTGGCGTCTTCTCGTCTCGGCCACGCCGATAACGTCGTACCTTATCCTTCTTGCCTGCATGAGCAAGTCTTCTATCGAGGAGTCGGATGCAAGTGTACGTGCACTGTAAGTGCAGATCGTCACCTTAGTTCCTTGCAATCAAGACAGCTTCCATTGGCCCTGAGATCATAGTAGCCTCTCCGTACTCGTTCTACTCCCTACCCAACGCTGCGAAATTGGAGGCTGCTTCGGGGTCAGGGGAATGAGGCCCGTTTTTTTTAAACTGTGTTTAGCATTTTTGGTACCCACGTATAGCTTGCCGGGCTCTGAACGTGGTGGCTTGGAATACTCAAGAGTAGCTTGCCACCCTCTCCCAGCGTGGAGGTGGAGCTTATTTGTTGGAAGCGGCTCCTACCCGCCCCNGGGCCCCCCCCCCCCCCCCCCCCCCCCCCCCCATATCATATACTTCCCTCTCATTTGATTGCAGGCTTTTGGCTGAATTGACTAGTAGAATACAATCCGCATAAGCAAGAACGCACCCACACACTCATTCCTCGCAAATGCAGAAAGTATGTGCCAAATCTTCGCAGCAGAAACAGGGAGTCCAACTTCTGGATCTACCGGCGTCTCAGGGAAGCAAAGCTCGCTTTTGGTCGGCGATTAAGCCCTTATCCGCCACCTGGGGACTCGCCACGTAGCATCGAGACTGACCGGCTATTGTGATCCCTTTTATGAGGAAGATCCGTGGATATATGAATATATAAGGATGTGTCCATATACATGTATGTATATATATATATATATATATATATATATAATATATAGACCCATGCAAAATATAGCAATCAAGGCAGTATAGCAGAACACTGGAAGAAGATAAGAAAAGATTAGTCGTCAACCGCTCTAGTGCGATGTTACAAACCGAATGGCCGATAACAAGTGTTCCGAAGTGGTGACTCGATGGCCTATAAAAGCAATTTCGCTAAGGGTGGCTAATTATTCGGCTATTATTATAAGCGATGGCTAGACGTTTGGTCGATAATGATGAGCTCACTACATCACCAACCCAACGTTCATCCACCGCTAGGAATAGGAGCGTTTCTACCAGCCGGTTGAACACGAGGACATCAAGCTCTCAGGAGAGTCCTGTGCACCTCTCCTATGCGAACGACAGGATTTCAAGGCGGAAAAGGTGCGTCAGGTCTTGTGAAATTTCCAGGCCGGCCGTTCGTCGCTTAGCCGGTACGGTAGGTGTGAAATGTCTACGAAAGAAGGTATACGAACAGGCGGTGCTGTTTATTGAGACATTTCTGGAAGATGTTCTTTATGATGCTGCAGTATATCGCATCGGAGCAAGAAGGAAAACAGTTCTGGTGAAGGACGTACAACATGCTCTACAACGACGTGGTTTCAAAGTATGTGGGGATGAGTAATAAACGCTTTTCATTATCTATGTGAACATTTTGCAGACGAGTATGCAATTCTTCATTCAATTCAATTCTTCTTCTCATTTAGAACAAGAGAACGAAAAATTCGGATTTACAACGTTATCTACAAAGCAGCGTATTACACAGTTCCCAAACTTAAAAGGCTGAACGGTTCAGCTACCATCAAAATTGACAGAAACTCCTACTTGGCCAGTTTTTTGCTTAAGTGCTTCTCCACCTATGGTCTTAGATGAAAGACAAGTGAAGTAATCTGTTACAACACGTGCTTTTGACGCTATCGTCAGTGGCTCTATGCCCATATTTGTGGTCATACTACGATCGTATAGTAGTTGCTAATGGAAATTAGATCTTGGAGCCATTCTTGGCACCGAATAGTCACTACCTCAAGGTAGAATGATCGACTTCGTAAAAAGTTGCCAGGTGAGGCTTTTCCGCCGTTGCCACCGAGCAATACGTGGTATTTAGGTGATTAAACAGTTTATAAATACAGTACTGCAAGAATGACGATATGTCAATACTGAAACAGTACAAGAGGCCATATTGTGAAAGCGTTAATAAGTGAGTGTAACACCGGATCGTAACAGGAGGCTTGAAGAATGTGTGATTTGCTTGCATGATATAGAATACATAAACAATGATACAATGAGTAAGCACATTAAAGGTTTCACGTGAAAACGCAATATTCCTGACTTTTAATGACAACAGGATAGAATTATATACCATATGTAAGCCTGTGATTGCATTGTGATTGGGTTATCGTAGTAATGAGTAAATGTAAGCTTGTGTTAACATTAACAAATAATGGCCGCACAATGCGGTTAATATGTTAAAAGGTACGTGATAGATGAATAAGGTTAATGTACAGTAGCGATCTCGTCCCATAATAGTTAACAAGTTGGATCATCTGCACGATGTAAAGCAGAAGATAAATACAAGGACCACAAAGGCCCTAACAAAACGAATAGGATAGCAACTCACGACAACTTTTAAATGTGACCTGAGAAAGCATGTGCCCTGAATTTGCTTGGAAATATTCGTTGACCAGACCATATAAAGGAAAAGTGGCTCTTCCGAGCAACTTTTTGCTATTCATCTTACGGTAGGCGTTAGGGCGTTGAACAGAAACAGCTCAAAAAATCTCCTCTTACACAAAGAACTTGGTATAACAAAGACTGCTTCTTGCATGCAAAGCTCCTCTAAATGAAAACAAAGCGTTCTCATAATGCAAGATTGCTAAGCGATATGAGGAACTGTGGATCTTGTCATTACTATGGGCGCGTACGGTAATATGAAAGAATAGTAACTATTCGTGGAATAGTTACTATTTGGTCGTCCAGAAATGGTATGTGTTGCTCTGACTAGTAACCAGTTACAAAATTCACTGCAGAATTGATCTAGAACGATTGTGACATCATTCGTTGCATTAGTAAGCAAGCACGAGGTTAGAACTGTTCAAAGAAGGAAAATCGTTCGCCATGTTTTCGAGTGGGGCTTGAAACCAAAAAAAGAAGCTTGTAATTGGGAATAGAAGTAAAAGATTATTTTTTTCTGAGTTAAGTAGAATGTGATTCATTTATAGTTGGCATTTTCCAAGACAGTTTTATATGAGCGGATTCAGATAATGCAATGTGTTCAAGTAATTCTGTGACAATCCACTGTCCGCGTATTGTTTCTCTACTTCTGCTGCCGTTCATCTTATCTTTTAGAACGACATTTAGATGGTGACGACACTGCAGGCAATCTATGATTCCTTTTATAAAAGTGTGCTGCTAAATACTTTACTTAGATAGCCTCTCCTCACAAGAGCTAAGACTCTCAACTGTTTATTTCATTACCTTGGAACCACTATTCGAACGGGGAGTGGAATAACAGTGACGATTCTGAAGGCAGTGCCACGACCTTAGTATAAAGGAGAAAAGTCAGCTATCAGTTGTCTCGAGGAGCCCTCAGTTAACGCCAAAACGCTTAAAGAAGCGAGAAGGAAGAGCAATTTGCGATAAAACGTCGCTAAAACTTTTAAACCAGCCTGTCTTCTTCATCTGAAAACGTACACGACCATCGCAATACATATATTTCATAAAGATGCTTCTTACGGAAACGAACCCAGTTTAAAGCTTCATTGTGGTGGTCAGGATTCTTTAATAGATAAGTCTTCGATCAAAATAATCTTTATAAACTGGAGTGTTTACCTCATGACAATGTACTCAGAATACAACCTTGTTACGAATTCACTATCCACTACTTTATTGCCTCAGACATAAAAAGCTGACCGAATTTACATATACAATCTACGCCTTTGGAAACGAAGGCGTGTGCAAGTGCTTTTGCTAACAGATTTGTGCTCTTAAATAATTCCAGAAATTTGCCCAACATGAAGTTTGGAGTTTTGTCATAACTAATCATTGGTTATTGGTACCTGTTAATCAGTTGTGCTTTGCTGTTTAGATATACTGTAGAGTGGTTCGATATAGAATAGGTTTTAGTTTATAAGTTAATTGTTCCAGTACATCTACTTATGTATATTACAGTGCATGAATCCTTTTTGCAACGTTTACATTGATAACGTGGTCCTGAAAAGATTATTGGCATTGTGTAATCAAGCGCGGCTCCGCCCTTCAATTTTTGAAGTATGCTTATGGACCATTATTCAGTGTTGCACGTCACCAGGCGGTTGCGAATTTCTAGAGTTTGTCGGTAGAGTGATACGTACTTTTATTTTTTGTATGTTGTAAAGTCAGGTTGTATTGGTTGGTGGTTTGAATATTTCTTGCAACTCTACTTAACAGACTGCTCCATGATTGTAATGATTTCTTGTGGTATTGTAGGTCCCTAGACATGTCAGCTAGCGGCATTTCTAAACTAAATTTCGGTTTTTTGTTGAGTTGGATACGGTTGGTCTTATGATTAAGCCGTTCTTCTGTTTTTCATTAACGAGTTTGTTTGAAGAGGCGCTAATGAAAAGAAGCGTAGAGGTTTCCCTTGCTTTTCGAATGTTTTGCTAAGTTGGTCTCTGTTTTCAGGCATGCTGCAATGTGGAGATCTCGGTGCTGGTCACCTTCCAATACTGTTCGGGATTTTGTTCTCCATCAATTTGGGTGAGTTTTCAATTTTCTAAGTTTTCGCTATTACGCCTTTCATGCACATATACAAATATGGTTGAGGAGCTTCTGGCGTTAAACAGGAAGATGTTCGTTGAATGGCCCAACTACTGTGGTAGAAAATTTATCGTTGACCTCGGTTCGGTTTCGTCATGGCTTTGTGTGGTGGCCGTGTTGATGATATATCCAGAGTAAATCTGTAAATAAAACTGCTTGTACTGTTTCTAGCTCCCAACGGTTTAGTGCCTCATCATGGCTGGGAGGTGTTCCTGGGTGTCGGGATGTGATGTACAGCAGGTGGATTCATCCACTGGCAAGGTCTCCCAAGCTGAGAAGGAGTCCAGTGTTTCCATCAGCAAGCCGAGCTAAGAGTAAATCAATACCTGGATCCACCACCGTCCTGTTATCAAACCAGTCACATAGTGGCAAATCTCCCTTTGATCCACAAGAGCGACGACTGCCTGTGATGGTGACGAGCCGGGACAGCCTGGCCTGGCTGACCTCGGGACTTCAGGGACCACAATAACCAAACCAGCAAAACTCTGAAAAATGGAGATTATGATGGACCCCGCGCAACTATTGAGGACGGGTCGTCCAAGTATCAAAGTAAGTGCAGTGTTTCTAGGCGTCTTCTCCATCTCAGAATTCCAGATTACTTGGCGCATTCTTTTGGTAACGTACCAAATTCTGTGGAAGGGATAGATGAACTCTATTCGTCTTAGTTGTCTGTAGAATATTTCTTTAAAGGAAGTTTTAATCTGAAAAGGAGTAAGCATTGATCAATTCTGATGGAAAACATGATAGCGATGTTAATGTGTAATCAAAGTATGTCATAACATTCATGCATTAAACAGGTAGGAATAGTTTAGTTATCTGTAAAACAACTAGTAAAGTGCCTCAACGTTTTCCTTTCCAGGCTGTACCTACGTGTATGCCGTTCTCAATTCTGATGTCGAAGCGATCTTCCCGTATGTTTCTGCAGCAGGTGATCATCGTCCTGAGTCCTGTGTTTTCAGCCTTTTTCTGAACATCTCCGCTTTCTTACTGATGGTGGTCATGTATTTAAGGTAACACATTACTTTCATTGGCTTCCTTTCTGGTTGTTTCTGTGGTTGGAGCGAGATTGATTTTTTCAAGAAAAATTTCTTCGATTTGTAACTCATCAAAGATTTTCCGGGGGATTACTTCATTTGCAGATATTCTTTGATTGCTGTTTTAATACGAGATTCGGATAAGCCTATGGATAAGGTCAACATTATCAGCTTCTGTATCGGAATGGTTGGAAGTGCCGCTATGCTGATCGTTGCGAACTTCCAAGTTAGTAGCTCATTTTTTGCAACTTTCATCCGGACTTTGCAGAGTTGACCGTAGTTATTGGGACAATGTTTGATGAGATCTCTGCTACCTGGAAATGTAAATATCTGTTGAAGACAACATTGGTTGCTTGATTGGATATTTGGGTGGCTCATCTTCGCTGATAATGAATGCCTCAACATGATAAACATTTGCTGGCTTAGCCACTGTTTCCCTGGAGTCCCTACGTCAGTCTTGTGAAATCCTTCCTCATGTCGTCACCATCCTAGGCAGCCACCGCCCTTGTGGGTCACAGGAAGATTTGCTATCATGCGACTAATTTGGTACCAGAACGGTGACGATTCTTGGGATTTGTTTACTCATAGATAGGCCTCTGTATGGAAACGTCGAACTCCTTTTCAACTTGGGAGACCCTAACAGGTGATGAGCTTCCGCTTTACATCGCAACCCAATACCGAGGAAGTTCTTCCCGCCACGATGAGGTGGTAAACCGTTATTACGGAAGGCAACATTACTTTTTAAAATTTCGCCACTTGTGATCATTCACCTTGGCATTGCATGGTTAGTGTATAACGCAGTCACGATCACCGTCCACTTTTCGATAAATAGATCACTTGAGGATACAAAAACTTTACTGTTATTATCGATTTTCAATTTATCAAAGTAGAAGCTGCTTTGATCACAAGGATTTACGTTATAGTTCTCACTTTACATTCTCTGCTTCCACTACTACTTACAACGATGTCGCAAGAATCTTAAGTGAAGTCACTCTCGAACAAGCTACTAAGTGACTGGGTGTATTTTTGGTTTAGTGAGAATCGTTGGTTATGACTACCGTCATCTATAATCTGAACTAAAAACAAGTACTCTCGCTCAGTGAGCAGTGAGAATTTTTCTCGGTAGCCATGGTATGCTTTGCAGCGCTATTCATGTGTGTTGTTCATCATTGTGGAGCTCTTCTTATCTGAAGTTTTTCACTTTTTTTTTGTTCTATTCATTAACGGCGCGTGTGGCGCAGTGGTCGGAGACGCCCTTCAACACACACAGGGGAACGGTCACGCGCCCATAGCCCACAAAGCCCTCCATTCCTCCGGGGTCTTCAAATTGGTACCAGCCTTGTCTGGGAGGATAGCAGTACTGGCTCGACACATCGGTAGATCACTGCAAGTCATTGTAAAGGCCAGATATGCATTCAATCACCTCTGACGGTGTTTAGTAAAGTCGAATGCATAGCGCATCCCTCAGGGATTGATCAACGCCGAGAGCTTTACCTTTAGCATTAACTTAGGCAAGGTTGTTACGAAATACTCCTTATTGTTGCTAATAATTCTGCAACTTGGCCTACTTCACAGCTACAGTGATTCGAATCGAGTGGTCACTTAATTCGGCTTGAAGCAGCAAGAGATACGCAAATTAGAAGAGGACTACTATAGATACTCGACTCAAATCATCGCCGCTCTGTAGAAGATGAAAGCGCCGAAATGATACTCTTTAAAAGGTGAAAGCTCCAAAATGATTATCTGTATCACCTGTAGTACGGTTGGTCGTCGAGTGACTCGAGCGGGCGCCAGAAAACCTTCCATTTTTTCCCTGTCGCGTGCAAGTGTAGCCTAGTGGGTTCTGCCCGCTCTAGGGACTCGTCGAGCATCATATCTTTCTTCAAGGCTCTTTGTGAAGAACTCTGACCATCGGGTCGGTGGTCTTCGTGCAGTACATTTGACATCCCGAGGAATCCAGTCACTAACGGCTCTTGTCCATTGTGAACTTATGAATATAACAAAATGCAGGTTGTCTATGCCATGGCGAAGTGAAACTTGGTCTAAAAAAACTCCATTTCTGAAAATGACTAGATTTATACCATATTGAAAGAATGAGTAACATTGTTAGCTAGGTTCAGAGAAGCGGGTATCTAAATTCAACCACGGATTGGACTAGAATCAGTTTTGTTGACATGGATCCTTGGGTTTATGTAGTGAAATTAACAGCCAAAGCCGCTTAGAAGACATCCTTGTGAAAAGTGCAGACTGGAAATCATGTTCTTACTAGGACATTGATGTTCCAGGAAGGTTCTGTGATGTACAGACTTGCTGCAAAACTCATTCTTAGCTCATTTTCTAATTTGTTCTCTTCTGCCGAATACTTCCAATTTTTCTGTTCTTTTTGACTGTTTTATCTAATTGGTCATTGAGAAGAAATTTGTGCTACTCGTACGAACCACAGTTCCTTCACGACTGGTTAAAGCTTTATGCATATTGGACGATACGAAGATGCAAGCTGCGGTGTACAAAGAGAGAAAACTTGTGTCAGACAGAAAGAATGTCTCTCAAAATACAACTGCTGTATGTATTTTTTCGTTTCATAAATGGAATTTTATTGAAAACGTTTCTGTATGCCTCGTTTATCGAATAGTCACCGTATTCTCGAATATGTGGAAATTGCGAAGTGCTGTATGATGGCTTCAATCGGGAAATCTATTTGTTTTTGTTGGCATGTAAATGTGGAGGAAAATTTTGGTTTTCTGCGCAATAGTTTGGAATTGGTTTCTTTACCATTGAATGCTTTATTTGGTAAAATCGTATATTCTGTAGACTTAACTAGTTCTACTTGCTCCGTGCTCAGAAATCAAGTGGACAATAGCGCATTTCCCACTTACTGTGGTCTGTCTACTATTATCATCTATAAAAATGATTCGTCTCTTCTTTTGCAAAGTGTGTGGACTTCTTTTTCTTCTAATGAAGTTTTGAAGTCTACAGTCCAACTTGAGGTTCGGTGAGATGGGTTGGCCTTAAGAGATGTTGCTCAAATATTGTGTGTAGTCAGCGTATTGGATTGGCTTATATATCTATCGAAGATGCCACTGAGAACCGTCAAATCCATCGGGTTTAAGCGGACATTAGTGTTTGGATGAGATGATATCCTCAATGATCTTTTTTCTTGGAGGTGATTTCGTAATTTATGCATTTCCTGAGCAGTTTCTCAACATCGCTCACCACTTTCATTGAACCACCTAGTTACACGTAATATGTGGTCTTGTAACACGAGAATCTTGAATCGATTCATTCTTCATCGCATCTTCCCTTTTTTATAAGCGCAGTGTTCCTTCGGTTTGTTATGGTACGTTTTCCACCTCATCGTTTTATATTTTGTATTTGTGAATTGTTACCTTTTCGCCATTGTTTTTAGAAGATGAATATGTCGGTGGCAAAAAAAAACCTGGCAGTCGGCCACAGCTATAGGTAAAATGGGTCCTGTCCTTGCTGCGCGAAAGCTGATAGACTTACCGTTAGGAAACCGTCAGACGTCATTTTTTCTTCAAATCTGTAGTTGGCACAGTGTTTGAGTTGAATATTCGACTAGATTTTTGTTGCTATAGGCGTGGCGCGTGTAGCTTAGTGGTCGGAGGCGCCCCCAAAAACGGATCGATCCGCTCGCGCCCTGCTCGCCGTGCCTTCCATTTCTCTGAGTTTAGGATATTGGTTCAGGACTTATCTGGGAGCATAGCAGAACTGGCTTGATACACCGGTAATCCATCACAAATCATTGTAAAGGCCAGATATGCAATGAATTACCTCAGACGATGTTTAATAAAGTCGAATGTAAAGCGCATCACTCAGGGATTGATAAACGCCGAGAGCTTTATCCTTTATCCTTTGTAGGTCTGTTATTGTCCATCCATCAGAACGTCTGTCGAAATCCTGCTTGTTCAGTTAGTTGGACTATGTTGAATTTCTGCTATTGTGTTCCTCCAGCTTGCATATGCTGCGAAAGTTGACACTCCTGTAAGATGCTGTATATTTTCATCAAGCTTCATCTTTTTCCGAGTGTCACCCTGTTGCTTGGTAACGAGTACTTCAATTGAAGAAGAGTACTGGATGGAATTCTAGCATTATCTGGCAATTACCTCGCAGTGTTTTGCTGTGTACTCCTCACTATGATGTTAGGCATGGAATGGGTTTCCTTTTTTACATGTTGCTCATACACGATTTGTGTCCCCATCTTGTGCGCCAGTAATTCGTTTTTGGGTCTTGGTTAACTAAAAGTTCTACAGTCGCATGGTGGCAAATCTCCCTCTGAAACAAGGGCTTAACCAGCAAAACTCGAAAAAATGAAGATCATGCTGGGGCCTGCATAACTAGTGAGGAAGTATCCAAGTAAGTTGGTAAAGTTCTGCAGACAACAAGAAAGGTGATAAATTTTGCTGCAGAATACTGATATCATGAACTGTCTTTTTGGATCTCCGTATAAATGGAGCCTTTAGGCAACTTATTAGCCGGCGGGAGACTTTCGTTACGGAAAAAGCTGAAAGGAATGTCCTATATTGATTTCTTATTTCAGAATTAACTGTCTTATGTTGCTGCTCAATAACGTTTTCTTTTCGACTTTTCGATCTTGTAACCAAAATTTCAAATTGTCGTTCAGTTCATATCTTCCATTTGTCACGCAAATTGTTTAGCAGGGGCAACGTGAAGTGTTTTCAAGTAGCATTAGAATTATACTGATCTGATTTTGACGCTAAATAAAAAGAGGCGTTGATAGCTAAGGGTTCTAGTACCGATCGAAATTGCCAGTGACGGTTGCGAGAAAAAAATTTCCAAGTCGTGATGCATCTTTCTCTTTAATGATAATCATAAAGGTCAGCGTGTCATCTTTGTTTACGCAGCTTTTCTTACCCTTCATACTCTTCAAGTCGAAAAGTTGAATTTTACCTGGTCTGCATATTCCATTTAAGCTTGGAGACCAGTGTCTGTACGAGTTGTTTTCGGTGTCCTAAGGTTGGTCTCTTGCTGGTGGAATCAGTTCATTTCGGCTTTGGTTCTATAGGTGTAAAGTGGAAAACAGCCTTCATGTTGTCCTAGGTATCCGTTTTAGTCCAAATTTGTTAGCTTACAAAAGGACGAGTGTTTTCTCTTTTGTCACTGGATAATCATATTTTGCGTCGTAGATGGCAGAGCATTCTGTGCCATATACCGTTATTTATTTGTTGGTTAAGTATCCATAGAGTGGGGGCGCATATAACGTTGTGCTCGGTGGAGCCCTGCATTACACATGGGATCGACCAGCGAACCGCAGGCTCACCAAGCCCTCCAACCCTCTGGGGTCGGTAAATTGGTACCAGAATTGTCTGAGAGTGTAGGGGCACTGGCTCGATACATCATTAGGCCACCGCGAGTCGTAAAATCCAGATATGCATTTGATTACCTCCAACCATTCTTAATGAAGTCTAATGCAAATCGCATCCCTCAGGGATTGATCAACGCCGAGAGTTTTATCGTTCGTCTTTTAGTATCTATACCTCTGGAATAAAATTGATTGATAAGGCGTTTTTTTTGTCACAGATGGTTTGAATGTGACAAATCCGTCATTGTCGGCTTCTTCAAAAATTAGCTTAATCCAAAATAAAATTTAGATCAAGTGTCGGCCTCCTTCATAAGTTCGATGATGCAGTTCGATTTATGCATTTTCTTTTGTACCATCAATACGACACATAGGAACACGCCAATGACGTTGATCAATCAAATTAGTGTTAGTCTACTTATTTAGTGTTCAGAAAACATAGAGGAGCTTGACGCTGTTGAAATAGTGATACATCGTTTGTGATAAACAAATATATGAAAAGAGGCAAGAGTACTTTCTTTTTTGAATTATATCCATAAAATGTTTCGCTACCGGAATGTGCTCTTTGCTAACCTGCCCCTAATTTCTTGATTTCCACCTGCCTTTAAGTGTAAGAGCAGTTTTTTGTGTTATGCAATCAGCCTGATTTTTAGAGGCACATTTCGACACTGTTTTCAACATCTCGATAATGAATATTTTCATTCCAATTTTACAGGAAACTGCTGTAATTGCTATACATTTATTGGCTGCCTGTATTTGTTTTGGTTCGGGTTGTGTGTACACAATACTACAGTCGTGGATTACTATTCGGATGCATCCATTGTACACAAATCGTCGCATCGGTGTGATTCGGGCAATAATCTCGACTATTGCAACTGTATCATTTGTTCTAGGTTAGTGGGTCCATAATTCTTTTTTTGAGTTTTTGGAAATAGTCAGATTTTTTTGCTTGTGTTATTCCGGCGCCACGGATCTCTCTCGTATGAGGGATCTCGAGCCGGTTAGTTGCGAAGCTACGTGGCGCGTCCCCAGGTGGCGAATACGAGCTAATCGCGGATCAAAAGCGTCCTTTGCTTCCCTGAGACGCAGGTGGATCCAGGAGATGGACTCCCTATTTCTGCTGCGCTAATTTGGCGCATACTTTCTGTATTTGCGAGGCGTATTTATGCGTGAGTGTGTGGGTGCGTACTTGCCTTTGCGGATTGTATTCTACGAGTCATTTCGTGGGTGTCAAAAATGCTAAACACAGTTAAAAAAACGGGCCTCATTCCCCTGACCCCGAAGGAGCCACCAATTTCGCAGCGTTGGGTAGGGAGTAGAACGAGTACGGAGAGGCTGCTAAGATCTCAGGGCCAATGGAAGCTGCCTAGATTTCAAAGAACTACGTTGACGATCTGTACCTACAATGCAACTACACTTGCATCCGACTTCTTGATAGAAGAGATAGAAGACTTGCTCATGCAGGCAAGAAGGATAAGGTACGACGTTATCGGCGTGGCCGTGACGAGACGGCGCCACCCATTCAACCGCGTCTACGATACCGGAGAAGAACTGTTTCTGGAAACATGCGACACTAGAGGAGTCGGCGGTGTCGCCGTCCTCGTCAACACGAGTTTGTCTGTGAACATCGATTCATTAGAACAGCTTACAATCCGAATCAAACGTCTACGATTAAAAAGACGTGGATCAATTCCGGCTGACCATCTTCGCCGTTTATGCGCCGACATCAAATTATGACGAAGAAGGAGCCGAAGCGTTCCATATGGACTTGGAGAAGTTCTACAGAGAAGATCACACATTCTTTAAGGTCATCAGTGGAGATTTTAACGCCGAGACTGGACCAAGAAGTACGTCACATTGGGACACACGGAACCGAATTGAACGAACAGAGTGAGCGTCTCTCTTAGTTTATCATGACGACGAAGAGCATCCATGGTAACTCGCAATTCCAAAAGCCCCATCCTCAGCGTTGGACGTAGGAGTCTCCCAATGGAGGGTACCATGAAGAATTAGACTACATCATAGTTAATAGAAGGTTTTGCCTAACCGATTTCGCTGTTGTCTCAAAATTCTTCACGGGATCACCCCATTGCCTCCGAGCATTGTTCTATTTCTCAAGGAAAGGAGCAAAAGCCGCTAAATTCCAAAACCGAAATCCCAGAACCACCACAAACTTGGACTTATTCAATTCATTAGTCGGCTGTTGGGAGGATGCCGTTGTCGATAACATCGACCAAGGATACGGTCGGCTCATTCAACATCTTGACGCTAGCGCAATGAAAGCTAAGAGTATAAAGTCACCAAGAGACGTTTGCCTCCAAATACACTCGAGCTGATACGCCAGCGTGGAATCGCACGAGCTGCAGGCAACCGCGAACTGACGTCCGAACTTGCAAAACAATGCAGAGAGGCGATAAAAGAGGATCTTAGAGAAAGAACAGCAGTAATGGTCGAAGCTGCAGAGGCTGGGAAAAGCATTCGCAAAGCCCACGGAAGCTTCGCCAATTACAAGATCAAAATGACTGCACTCCGGCTCCCAGACGGAACAGTAACAGAGCGCAGAAATGCAATGGAGAAAATCATTCACGAATTCTACTCGGATCTCTTCGATAGCCACGTCCACCTTCAGTCATATGAAATAAAGGAGAATGGATATCTTGTACGAGTGGTTCTCCGTTGCGAAATCCGACATGCCATTTCGTCGGTGAACAATCGAACAGCACCAGGTCCAGACAGCACAAGATCAGAACACCTGATGAACATTCCACCAGTCCTCGTAAACACACTGACTCGACTCTTCACACGTTACCTGTCTGAATGCAAGGTCTCTACTCAGTGGAAGACCAGCAAGACGGTGTTATTGTTCAAGTAGGGTGAACTACACGATATCGGCAACTATCGCCCAATCTGCTTACTGTCTGTCATCTACAAACTTTCCACTTGAGTCATCCTAAACAGGATTGCCAGAACACTGGATGAAGGACAGTTATGTGACCGAGCAGGGTTTCGAAAAGGATTTAGTACGATGGACCACGTCCACATGGTAGCAGGGCTCACTGAAGTATCGCAAGAATCCAAAAGACCGCTCTGTCTCACTTTCATCAATTTACAGAAGGCCTTTGATTGAGCTGAGATTGAAGCACTCATGGAAGCACTAGAAAGTAGGCCCTACTCGATTTATAAAGATTCATAGTGCGCTGTACAAAAACTTCACAACCAAGATATCACCATTCTACAACGATATTAACGTTGACGTCAAAAGAGGGATTAGGCAGGGCGATACCATCTTGCCAAAATTATTTACCGCCACCCTCCAGAATGTCATGCAAACATTGGAATGGGATAATATGGGAGTGAAAATCGATGGTCGGCAGTTACATCATCTTCGCTTTGCTGATGACATCGTCCTTGTAATACCAAACATTAGCCAATCGGAACGTACGCTTGACGACTTTAATAAAGCTTGTGGAAGGAATGGCCTTCGATTAAATCTCACAAAAACGATGTTCATGGAGGAGGGTTTGATTTCGCGTGCGCCATTCACGCTCAACGGATCGAATTTCTCCGAATGCTTCAGTTATATCTATCTAGGTCGGGAAATCAACATATTGAACGGCTTAGCTCCAGAGTTGAGCAGAAGGAAACGAGCGGCTTGGGAGCTTTCAGGAGCATCGAGGATGTAGTGAGGAGAACAAAGAACACCCGACTGCGTGCTCACCTTTTCGACTCAACGGTACTTCCCGCCCTAACGGATGTGTCAGAAACCTGGTCACAGCGTAAGCAGGATGAAAAAGGTCACTCAGCGTTATCGAACGCGCTGTCGAAAGGACGATGTTAGGAGTATTCCGTGTCACGCAAGTAAGAGAGAGGATCTGATGCTCCGACCTGCGTCAACGACGAAAAAACAAAGATGCCGTTCTGCACGCCAAACAGTCGAAGATAAAGTAGGCGGGACACGTAATGCGTGTGAATGACAACCGATGGACAAGAGCCGTTAGTGACTGGATTCCTCGGGATGTCAAATGTACTGCAGGAACCCCACCGACCTGAGTTCTTCACAAAGAGCCTTGAAAAAAGATATGATGCTCGACGTGTTCCTAGAGCGAGCAGAACCCATTGGGCTACTCTTGCACGCGACAGGAAAAAATGGGAGACTTACTGGCACCCGCTCGAGTCACTCGATGATCAACGGGACTACAAGTGATTTCGGTGAAAACATGTCTTTACTTACCATAATGTCTTTAGTGTCGAGCGTTTCGTGATTCTATTGCACTGAGCATTAAGTTACCACTATTATACGAACGAGATATGGTTAACTGTTTTTGGATGTTGTTGTAACCGGTCTGGAGCTCGTATTTTAAGCTGTGTTTTTATGCGGCTTTGTTGAGGAAATATGCTAAATAATGCGAAGGGGAGACGTACTTTTGGCTTAGGGTCGCGTTTATATGAAATTAGTATTGCTTTGTCGACATAAGTGTGGTTTTCAGCAGTCGGTTTTGGTGTTTACGCTGCTCATGAATTTCATCGATACTATCCGGATCTTCCCACACCCCGCCCGTGGAACAGAAAAGTGTGGCAACCGGTAGCTTTCCCATTAGCGATGAGCAGTACTATATAAGTAAATCATCTGTACATTGCATAAGTAGTAGTCGTGTTTAGGGTTACAATTTCCATGTTGCGTCCGCGGCTGCCGAGTGGATAATGGCCGTCGCTCATGTGTTGTTCATCTTAACCTATGCAAGAGACTTCGAAAAGGTTCGCGTTTCTCTCTATATTGAGTCACTTGTCTCTCATCTTGATCACAGTCCGCTTGTGCGTTCCCTCAACGATATGCGTGAAATGTAAATTTATGTAATTCTTCCGCAGAGATCTTCCATACTCTGTCCAAATCCTACTCGTTTTATTCTAGTACTCAGATTTCCCTTCGGTATTACATTGAGCAGTGTTTTTTTTTCGATGACAGCAGCGAGCTATTTGCATGTGTACAGTGTAATATCTCATGCAGGTTTCAACGCCTTTCCCACTTCCGGTAGCTCTGTATTAGTTTTTTCTTAAATACAGCGCAATCTCAAGCACAGGTCAATGAAGTTTGTTCTCTAAGAGTGCTTAATAAAGCTTTTTTAAGAGTTACTCTTCAAATAAATTCAGGAGCATGGTGCTCTTCCGATAACTGCCGATGGTTTTTAATAATTTAATTATCCCTGGAGTAGTTTTGCTGTGATATTATTGTTATTGCAATATCCTTCGCCATAAACTGGAAGATTGTAATGAAATCAAATTAATGCGGGAATGTCAACGGGCCACATTGGTGAAGGATTAAAGCACGTGAATGCGTCTCTTCCATCGCAATTCTACTTGATTCATCGCTCAGCTCCTCAAAGAGCTTAGACGGTAAAAGCGACAGGAAGAAGGAAGCGATTCGTGGACGCTGAATAAAAATAAGGATTTCATTGTGATGAAGTGAACCGGCTTGCATCTTGGAAAAATCCTGATTATTTCGATAGTTTCTGCCCTATTTAATAGCCTTAACCATGGGCTGAAATATAGCGGTTCGAAGCTGAAAGGTCAATTTATCTTATTCATGGAAAAGCGGATGGTGTCGGGTTCGATTTTTTGGTTGTTTAAAAATTTTTTCACCAATTCAAAGAAGGAAATGGATGCCTGGGCTTTTTTTGGAGAGGAATCGCTTTGTTTAATTGTAGCTTCGTTTAATTCCTCCTGACAGCAAATCTATGTTTATAAAAAAGCCATGGATGGGCGTCATATTCAACACATTGATGAAATTTTCATGTTTACTTATGACTGTACCCAACGTTAATATTTATGCAAACAATTACTAAAAGTTAGAAGAATGAAGCAAAAAATAAAAGGCGACTAAGCTGATTTGATTGGTCACATTGCACTGAAAGGTTAGTGTTTGAATGTTGTCTCATTGTGTTAGCCAATATTGAATTAGAACTCAAACAATATCGAGAGTTTTTTTTTACATAACTCTTCAGTGGGATACAATGGGATGGACAAAGGTTCATGGATCAACCTAATCCACTAAAGATGAGACCTTTTGATGAAGATCACGGAACACCCTAGAACGGCCAACCCAGCATTCGATAAACGATAATTGACTTGACCAGCATTCAACTAAATTCTGAGGACGAAGGATCCTCAAACAGCAACAACGTAAGAACCCTTATGTAAAACCCGACGAACATCGTGGATGACGGGTCCGAGAAAAGAAATCGAATGTATGCTGTCTTCCACAAAATGTGTTGTAAGGTAGTGTAGAAAATTAAGTATACTTTCTTGCATTATTAAGCTCAAACGAATTTGTTACGAAGGCTAACTTGAGGTTATAAGATTCTAGTTCATTCTAGGTTACAATGCAATAGAACAAGCGGTCATATTTTATAGGAGAAAGAATCTGTTTCATCAATATCGCACAGACGGAATCACGTCATGGTTCATTTAGTGCTTTTGTTGCATTCAATAGGGTGATGACTTACACTGCAATTTTGTTACCAATTTCTTTAACGTTCTCGCCACAAACGACGTATAAGATCTACAGGTCTCATTTCGGTAGTTTATTTTAACACACAACTATTTTCGTGAACTTTTTGTTGTCAATTGATAGAAACAGGCGTTGTATTGCAAGTTGGTAGGAAAAAGCTCTGTTTTTCACTTAAATGTATGCAGAATATAAATTTCAGTACTATGGATATACTCCTCACAACGGTTTACCGCCACACAATGGTTAGGTGTTTCTGGGTGTCGGACTGCGATTTACAGCGGGGATTCATCCCCTGGCAAGGTCTCCCAAGCTGCGAAGTAGTCCAGTGTTGCCATCAGGAAGCCTAGCTAAGACTAAACCAATACATGGATCCACCACCGTCCTGGTATCAAAGTCGCATTGTGGCACATCTTCCTTTGATTCACAAGGACTTCGACCGCCTGTGGTGGTGAAGACCTGGGGCAGACTTTGGTCAGGCTGACCTTAGGATTCCAGGGAACCACAGCCGCTTAACCAGCAAATGTCCGAAAAATTGGAGTTACGCCGGGGTCCGCTCAACCAGTGAACACAGGCTGTTCAAGTATCAAGTATGGATATACTATGATTTCAATTCTAATTGCTGTAATTATTGATAGCTACCGGATGGAGTGCGGGAGTATAAAAATTACTGAAATAGAGACCCTTGCAAAGCACTTCAGAATGCTGACAATGAAGTGCTTGTGCGATGGACCATAGTAACACGTAATAAATAGCACTTCTCTACAATTTATTCATGTTCATAGTCCACGAAGGTCTCTAGTTATCGAAGAAATATTGTTTATTTTCAAAAAACTAGCAAGACTGTAAATCTTGGAAATTAGCCATTGTCAAGTCCGCAGCAAATTCGTGATAAGGCGTCGTTGCGAGATTATTGAAAACAAAACTACACAGTTTTCAGTTGTTGAGATGTTCGATATAGGCTAGTTATGGTTCTGGTAGCACCTTTTACTTCTTTTTCGTTTAATCTCACAAACTGGGACTTTTGAACTGCGTTAGTTGCTTAGAAGTAAATAACCAAAAATAACCACAACGTTGCTGAGATATTTGCAAAAGTCTGGCCCGTAGGTGTCTATGTTGGGGAACGAACCCGCGCTGTTGTCCTTTCCGGGGAATAACGCGTTCACCACCACACCATGCGGGTTCTTCGTTTCGTCTGTCTTTCAGCTATTTCTATCGATCTTTTTGCCACAGCTATCACCCGTCAGCGGGATTGAGCAACGTTGTGGTTGTATTTCGCTTAGTACCCTGCCGCGAAATTATAATAGGCAGAAAATAAAAAGGTTTAACATTGTAGCCAAAAATAGGTTAGAAAATTCTTCTGGACCATTATCCATAGAATGTAGATACTTAATATAAACCGAAGGTCTTATATATAATGCTGAGATATTTGCAAAACTCCGGACCGTAGGTGTATGCGGTGGGGAACGAACCCGCGCTGTCATCAAGCATTGTCAGAGATGATCAAATGTATGCCTGGTCTACATAATGGCTTGTGGTGGTCCAGCCGGCTGCAAAGGATCGAACCATTCGTATCTCAGAGTACTACTAAGTACGCGTTAGTTGCGCCTTCGGTGAACAACTACAAGGCAAAAGTGTTTAATGTGCATATTTGCTAACATCGTGGTCAGAATTGTTACATCATTTTCCGTGAACCTATCATCTAATCTTGGCACAGCTTAAACTGTTTTTAGCCATATGGAAAGAGGAACACTCTAGATTAGGAATCACACGGCGTTTTTCGCTTACTTGTACCCATCGCACGAAATAGGACGAAATCTAGTTAAGCGCTAAAAATGTATCCATGTTCTAGTAAGCTGTAAATTAAACATCCCATAAAACTTGCGGTAGAAAATATTTCATGTTTGTCAAAGATTATTTAACGGTGTATATCGCACTGGGTAGAATTGCACCGTGGCGCAAGCTGTCTTCAATTCGGTCCGGCGCTCCATGCACAGAAAGCCCTCTATCGGTCTAGGGTCTGCAAATTGATAGCGGACTTGTCTTGAACGATGAAATTCTCCGAATTCATGCATCGATGGGCCGCCGCTGTTTATTGCATAGGCCAGATGTTCATTCAATCTACCTCTGTCGATGCTTGACGAAGTCGAATGCATGGGGCGTCCCTCAGGAATTGACCAACGCTAAGTGCTTTTTCCTTTATTCTTTATTTGTGGTAGCAGTAGTGGACTTGTATCCCATTTCCTTGTAATGTATCCTCTTTAGCTGTTTATCAAACACTTTGTTAACAGTTGACACTGACGATATACTGTCATCTGTTCACTACACAAAATTTTTGATGGATTTAGTGTTAAAATATGAACAGTACTATGTGATATTTTCCAAAATGGCAAATTCACAACGACCAAAATGCTAACAAAATTGAAACCACCACCGTTGAACGCTCCACAGTTCTGTTTGCTTCACACGGCGTCCAGCTATGTGACTGCACTCGAGGGCGGGCTTATTTTTTTCCTGCTTAACGTCGTCACAACGCAATCGACGGCGTGTGACAATGCACTTGACGTACGGCGAGTTCGCATCAGAAGCCATGAATCCGAAGCGATTCTCATCCGATGTGTTCCTTGTCGTTTTCGGTTCGTGGATTGCGCCGTCCGTCCGTCATCGCCATATCTCTCTGGCTAGTTGACGATCGATACCCCCATTGCTTCGCTAGCCTCGTATGCCCAACTAGTCAGTGGCTTCCCACCAAGCATACGTATTCGTACATTCACTCTTCGCTTTTAATGCTTTATTTCTAAAACACACGCTTTGTGTATGAATCGTCCCATGCATTGACGATAAGCGTTTAGCGATGCGATGCTGTCTGAAGTGACAAAATCACATGAATTTGCATTTGGTTGCGTAAAAATCCAGTGCCTTGTCGTGATTCTTCGAATCGAAACGACGCTAGTGCAAGCGCTTCACAGGGGCCATAGTCGGGATTCGTCGGAGATGAGGTGTCATGCACTGACCGGCCATTCTTGAGCCATTTGACCGCGCACACAGTTTGCTACCGTCACGCTTGAAACTGTTTTCCCTCTTCTACTCTTTTGGTACCGTTCACTTCCTTTGTTCCACCGAAGCAGCCTTTGCTTAAAGTGTAAAGGTCTTTTTTCTTTGTTGTTATTGTTCTGCTTCTAGAGGTTTGCTACACTAAACTCATTACTAGTTGATTGGAGTTTATCACAGTTCGGAGCATCCTGAATACGGTGACCGTATCCTGGTAATGGTTTACTGGTAGTGCTGTCGCTGAATCACTCATATAATACGTATTCTCGGCCATAATTTCTATTCCTAGTAACATTCTTTAACAACAGTTCGTCTCTTCATTTTTTTCATACGTCAGCCTATTTCGTGATTTTTATGCCTTTCGCATTCCGGTGCACACTGACATTCTCTTCATGCTATTTCCGAAACTTCTAATCTCATCTATTTTCAATTAAAATGTAATCCAATTCGCTTCGTCTGCAAATTCGTCATAACAATCATCCTTTTAATGTTCATTTCTCCGAACATTTTGCTTTCCTGTAACGGTGAGAATTTCTGTGAAAGACAATATATCTGTTGAATTAGAGATTGCTTTAACGAAACGATGATTTCAAGTCTCAGTAATAGCCTTTCCGCATCCTGGTTTTCAAGCGCCCGATTTACTTTCTACGTCCGTTCAACGTTTTTCACGCCCTACGTTTTCTATAAATATCGATGTAAACAATCTAGTGACGTAGGAATTTTTGACTAAATATTTCACGGAAATAGTGTTGAAGTTAGTTAGTAGTTTTAAAAAAAGTTTTAAAATTGCACTTTGTAATGAAGAATGAGATAATTAGGGTAATATACATTCATGCAGGACTCCTTCGTTGCTAATTTGAGGTAACAGGTGATAGTTGTCCAATTTTTTTCCACAAAGTAGTAAAACAATTGGCAAAGTGATGAATGTCCTATGTCAAACGAATCGATATAGCTATATTGTTGTAAAAAGGTGAAGAGTAAATTTCATATACCTTGTGGAAATACTTTGCTACCAAACAAGTAGATTCGAGTTTTAGATGTACACTTTTAAAATGGTAGAATAGGACTACTTTGCAAAGATTTTAGACGCTTTGGTCCAGAAATGGCTTATAGTGTCTTAAAAGCATCATTAAATTAAAGGCTGTTGTTGGTCATATTTCCTGTTTAAATGATATTTCTCGTTATTTCTAATATTTCCCTTGTTATTTGTTTTTTTTTTCTGAAATTTGATATTGTGACATGAAAAATTCATGTTTTGCTCACAAGTGCAGTCATTAAGTCCTATAAACTGATGTTTTTGGGCTGGCACGAAGTGGGTATAGGTTTGTTGTTGTTGTTGATGATGATGATGATGATGTTGTTGGTCAATGGCGATTTGGCCTTACGATTTGTTGTTTCACTTCATTTCGTTCGTTGAATAACGATGAAGTGCTTGAACTACACAAGAGTAACTCCCAAGTCCGACTTTCTATTAACCTCGGCATTGATTGAATATATCTTTCTACTTCTGTTCAGCAAGCACGAGGTGCTATTTTACTTCTTTATTTACGCACAAGCTGACTTTTCGGTGGATTTCGCCTTCCTCAGAGCCTGGAAGAGTCAAGTTGACAGCAATCCACTCGGCCAAACACCTCCATAACCAAACAGAGAAAACGCTAAACCAAGATTTCAATCACATTTAGCATAGCTCTGCACACTCACCGCCTTCTATGAGTCTTCCACTGAGTATGTCGCGTGAAGACCGACCGCACAGAATTCACATGGAAGCGTAATGTGCTCCTCCCATCAAAATAACAGGTTTATATACTGTCCAATATCGCGCGTGATAACGAGGCATTCCACCCAGCGGTTCATTTTAGGAATCTTGGAATTAATCCAGAATGCCTCTAGAGTTTTGCGCGCTTGTGTTCTCGATTCTTGCGCGAGGATCGTAACCCTTACTTCAAAATCTTCTCCGTTATGTTTCTGCGTGCTATGCGCACCTAGTGGAGTACTTGGCTTACGTTTGCCGACTAGGTGTTCTTTTATACGTACGCGGAGTGGTCTACCCGTTTCGCCAACGTATTCGTCCCCGCACGCTTTACAAGAGATCAGATAGACTGTACCCGAACTCATGCAGTCACCGTCTCTACCATTGGGGCAAATTATGCAATTTTGCGTTGCACATAGACGGTCGTATAGGCGGTTACGAACTAGCTGGCGCCTTAGATTACTCGGTAGTATTTCGATTATCGTTACCGAATTCTCTAGACTGGCCCTTCTTAAACAGCGTTTTATAGCTGCACCTACTTCATTTGAAATAAAGGGCAGTATAAACGGGACCTTGTTGTCGCTAGAGTTATCGTTGGGGTACCTGTGATTTCCTCTACACCTATCTCGAGCTACGGTTTCGTAACCATTAAAAATGGCTATTTGCCGTGCCAAGTTCCGGGACTCCTCTCTCTGTTGTCTCCCTGTACACACGCTGGTAGCTGTTCGATACGTGTTTCTCACAAGCGCCCTTTTCGTGTGTGAGGGATGAGAGGAGAGGTAATGAACTAGGATGTTTTCACTACTTGGCTTTCGATATCACTTCGTAATGTAGCCGTTTTCTGACAGGCTAATTTGCACGTCCAGAAATGGAAGCCAGTTTTCTTTTGGTTTCTCTTGGGTGAATTTAATATACTCTGACTGTGTGTTCAACAACTCGAAACATCTGTCGATTTCTTCTTGCGTTGAACAAATGACCAAGCAGTCATCTATATATCTACAGTAGAGTAACGGACCGAGGTCGATTACTGGCGCTTCCACCTTAGACATCTACACAACAGTATTAGGATCATTAGTTCATTCTTTTCTCGCTGAATGGATCTGATTCTATAAATAGCCAACTTTCAATTCACCTCATTCAACTTTCAAATTCGACTACCATTGACCGACTACCACTGCGAAGCTGTTAGCAAAGTGTCCAGTTCACAAAAGTTGATGTTTCAGCGGACTACACCTCATTTGGAGCCTGAAGAGAGCGAAAATAATATGCCAGTGAAATACTTTTATAACCTTAAGGAGGGAAAAAAGGAAATAGCTCTTGGATGATCAGTCCTTGAAGGATCCACTATGCATTCGACTTCATGAAGCATCGTTAAAGGTGACTGTGTGCATATCTGGCCTTTACAATGACTTGCGATAGCCTCCCGATGTATCAAGCCAGTACTACCGACCTCGGAAGGAATGAAGGCTTTGGTGGGGATCGATCCCATGTGTATTACAAAGCGCCTCCGACCAATTAGCCACACGCGCCCTACGCAATCTTAAGCAAAAGGCCAAATTAATGTGTTTTGGTCCTTTTTTAAAGCCTTTAGCATCCTAAAGAGCGGACCAAATTAATATTTACCCTTTTTGGTCCAGTGTTCCCATAAGCCTAAAGAATAACTCGAAACTTAAATCTTGAGCTTAAAAACTTAAATCTTGTCATTGACATAGGAAATCCTTGTATGTGCGATTATTTATTGTCCACTTTCCAAAAAGTGAAACGACAAGCACAAAGTTCATACCTGGTGATAAATGGGGTTCTGCGGAGTTGAACAAACCAAGCTGAGAAACGGGGATAAGTCACAGATGGTATTCAGTCACTCGTCGTTCAGTTCATTTTTGAAATTTTGGATTTTTGGAACTGATTTATAGCATACCAAGGGTTCAGGGAGGCGTTGATTTTTATGTTAAAGTCGTGAATTTAATTTAAGTTCAAGAAACTTCATTGTTACTTTTTGAGTTCTATGCTTGTGTGTCTTACCGAAATTTAGGTTTCCCATATAGGTGTTCTTTTGAACGAACACAAAATGTTCTATTCATTTCCCCGATATGCTTACCAACGGCTGTCTTAGAGCAAATCAATTATGCTGTACTTTATTTCATACAGTCTTTATCTCTGGCTTTTGTGGGATCATAACTTTAGCTCGAAGATCTTCACTGCAGTGACTTTATTCGTTCGTATCGTTAAACTTTTTCGAATTTTTGATCTGAGGACAATCCGAAAATTTGAGCGGGAAGAAATGTTGAGCATTTAAAAATCCATTTGCCAAGATTGAAACATGAGTTTCAAACTTTTTTTAATGAAAGTTATTTGATTATTTGACCAAGTAGGCTTTGTATCAATGTGTCTTCCTCTAAGGTTTAAAGAACTCGAATAGTTCCGAAATCTTAGCCGCTATGAATGAACTGATTTATTAAGGACTTCATGTCAGTTCCGCAAAAACACTTCGTAAGTACGTAGTATATTGTTCGTTACTGTAGAGGTTGATTGAATGCCGCTCTTTGAGTTCGCTTTCAAGTTTTTATGTGGTATAATATATTTTCAGATGTCTTTACGCCATGACTGATATGGAAAAAGAGCTGTGTCCACGACTAATAGATTATCTAGTTGTGGTTGGCAAGCGCAACAGAATATGGCACGTTTTCGGTTTTATTCTGTTTTCATTATGCATATATGCGTATATCACATTATTTTTTGATTCTTTGTCCGAGTCCTGGGGTTATAATTCTTCTATAAAATGGGCTGGAATTCCTGGCAGTACCTCCGTTTACCACTCTTGCCATCAGTGAGTGGTAGCGACCGGTCGTACAATCAAACTTCATTTCTGGTAGCCAGAAGCGCACTAAAGTATTTTCTATTTTACACTTAATTTTTTGTTTAAAATATATCCTGTATGGTATTATGAACTGTTTTACATCCACTAAGTCTCATGTCGATCAAGTCGCAGACTTCCAGCGCGTATACTATGCACCATTGTACTGCACGGGTTAACAGTATCGGAACCGGGGTACTTTTTGGTTCTTTTTGATCATTTCTGCCATTGAATCTCGTAAGAAACAACATTAATTTCCATTCTTTCCGCTGTCCCATCTAGTAAAAAGTAATTTCGTAGACGTTATATAATGTAAAAGGATCAGCAGAGTTGAATTTTTCACATGAAAAGTCCATTTACCGGTCAAAGCTGTTTCACTAGCATTGGTACTGTAGAATTTCGTTCGTATAATAGACAATTACTTCTTAGAAAGCTACTTGAATCTATTGACGATCTAGACGTCTCCCAAGGGCAGTACTCTATGAATCCTCGTTTGTCGCCCAGCCGTAATGCAAAGGTGGCCTTCAGCAACATTTTATAGGTCATAGGTCACAATATGCAAGAAAATCTGACAGTAGTTTTTTATTTCATTCCTCTTCAGTTTGTTGTACGATAGTGTAACATAACTTACAAACACTGGTATTTCTCACATATGGTTAAGGATTTATATGGTCACCTGTATCACCTGTAGTCCCGTTGATCGTCGAGTAACTCGAGCGGGCGCCATTAAATCTTCCATTTTTCCCTGTCGCGTGCAAGAGTAGCCCAGTGGGTTCTGCTCTCTAGGGAGTCGTCGAACATCATGTCTTTTTCCTAGGCTTTTCGAGAACTCTGACCATCGAGTCGGTGGTCTTCCTGCAGTACGTTTGACATCCCGGGGAATCCAGTCACTAACGGCTCTTGTTCATCGGTTGTCATTCATATGCATTACGTGTCCGGCCCACCTTATCTTCGACTGCTTGGCATAAAGAACGGCTTCTTTAATTTTTGGTTGTTGACGCAAGTCGGGACTTCGGATCCCCTCTATTACTGGCGTGACACGGGATACTCCTAGTATCGTCCTTTCGACTGCGCGTTCAAAAACTCTGAGTGATTTTTCATCTTGATTACGCATTGACCACGTTTCTGACGCATACGCCAGGGCAGGAAATACTGTTGACTCGAAAAGGTGGGTATGGAGTCCGGTGTTCCTTGCTCTCTTGAGTACATCTTTTGTGCTCTTCATAGCTCCACAAACTACTCGTTTCCTTCCGCTCAACTCCGGAGCAAAGTCGTTCATTATGCTAATTTTCCGACCTAGATAAACGTAACTGGAGTATTCAGAGGTATTCGTATCGTTGAGCGTTAAAGGGGCACACGAAACCAATCCGTTCTTCATAAACATCGTTTTTGTGAGACTTAGTCGAAGACCAATCTTTCCACAGGCATTATCAAAGTCGGCAAGAATACATTACGATTGGCTAATGTCTGTTGTTATAAGGACGATGTTGTCAGCAAAGCGAAGATGGTGTAATTGCCGACCATCAACTTTCACTCCCATATTATCTCATTCCAGTGTTCGCATGACGTTCTGGAGGGTGGCGGTAGATAATTATGGCGAGGTGTATCGCTTTGCCGAACATCTCTTTTGACGTCTATGTTAATGTCGTTGTAGAATGGTGATATCTTGGTTGTGAAGTTTTTGTACAGCGCACTATGAATCTATAAATTGAGTAGGGCCTACTTTCTAGTGCTTCCATGAGTCCTTCAATCTCAGCTGAGTAAAATGCCTTCTTTACTTTATACTTAATACTTGACTGACCCGTCCTCATTAGTTGTGCGGGCCCCAACATAATCTCCAATTTTCGGAGATTTGCTGGTTGAGATATTGTGGCTCCCTGGTATCCCGAGGTCAGCTTGACCAAAGTCTGCTCTAAGTCTTCATTACCACAAGCAGTCGCAGCCATTGTGGATCAGAGAGAGATTTGCCACTACGCGACTTTAATACCAGGATAGTGTTGGGTCCTGGTGTTGGTTTACTCTTAGCTAGGCTTCCTGATGGAAACGCCGGTATCCTTCTCAGCTTGGGCGACCCTGCTAGGGGATGAATCTCTCCTCCAACCCCACTGTACGTCGCAGCCCGACACCCAGAAACACTTCCCAGCCACCAGTGAGCCTTCTTTAAGTCGTAGAAAATGGGACAGAGCGGTCCCGTGTACTCTCGCGATACTTCAATGAATGTTGTTATCGTGTGGATGTTATCCATCGTGCTGAACCCTTTTCGAAACCCTGTTTGCTTACAGGGCTGCCTTTGGTACAGTGTTCTGTCAATTCTGTTTAGGATGACTCGAGTGAAATATTTGTAGACGACAGAGAGCAAACAGACATAGCGGTAGTTGCCGATATCGTGGAGGTCACACCATTCTTCAACAATAGTACGATCTTGCTGTTTTTCCATTGAGTAGAGACCTTACATCCAGACAAGTAACGTCTGAAGAGTCAAGCCAGTGTGTTTATGAGAGCTATCGCAACGTTCCTCAGCTGTTCAATTCTTTTCCTGTCCGGACCTGTTGCTGTGCGATTTTTTGCCGATGAAATAGCACGTCGGGTTTCGGAAGGGAGAAGTTTTGGTACGATATTTCCACTCTCCTTTATTTCATATGAAGATAGGAGGACGTACCTGTTGAAGAGAGCTAAGTAGTAATCGTCAATGGTTCTTTCCATTGCCTTTCTGGGCGCTGGAACTCTTCTGTCTGAGCGTCGGAGTGTAGTCACTTTGATTTTGTAATTGGCGAAGCTTCGGTGGGCTTTGCGAATGCTTTTCGCATCCTTTGCAGCTTCGAACATAATTGCTGCTCTTCTCTCCAATCATACTCCTTATGGATGTTATCAACAACGGTATCTTCCCAATGGCCGACTAATGAATTGAATGAACCACAGTTTATGGTGGTTTTGGGATTTCATTTTTTGAATTTAAAGGCTTTTTATCTTTTCAGCGAGAAATAGAATCCTGCTCGAAGGAGGCGATGGTGTAATCCTGTGTAGAATTTTGAAACAACGGCGAAATCGGTTAGGCAAAACCTTCTATTTACTATGATGTGGTCTATTTCGTTATGGTACTCTCAGTTGGGAAACTCCTACGTCCAACGTTGAGGGTGGGGCTTTGGAAGAGAGCCACTCACCCTGTTCGTTCAATTCTGTTCCGTGTGTCCCAATGTGTAGTTCTTCAGACGTTCTTCTTGGTCCAGTCTTGGTGTTAAAATCTGCAATGATGACCTTGAAGAATGTGTGGTTTTCTCTGTAGAACTTCACCAAGTCCATATAGAACCCTTCGACTCCTTCTTCGTCATAGTTTGATGTCGGCGCGTAAACGGGGAAGATGGTCAAAGCCGGAATCGATCCACGTCTTTTTAATCGTAAACGTTCGATTCGGGTTGCAAGTTGTTCGAAAGAATCGATGTTCATGGACAAACTTGTGTTGATGAGAACGCCGAAGCCGCCGACTCCTCTACTGTCGCATGTTCCTAGAAACAGTAATTCTTCGATGTCATAGACGGCGTTGAATGAGTGGCATCGTCTCGTGTCGGCCAGGCCGATGACGTCGTATCTTATCCTTCTTGCTTGCATGAGCAAGTCTTCTATCGAGGACTCCGATGCAAGTGCACGTGCATTGTAAGTACATATCGTCACCTTAGTTCTTTGCAGTCCAGACAGGTGCCATTGGTCCTGAGATTTCAGCAGCCTCTCCGTACTCGTCCTATCCAACGCTGCGAAATTGGGGGCTCCTTCGGGGTCAGGGGAATGAGGCCAGCTTTTTTTAACTGTGTTTAGCATTTTTCATACACACGTATAGCTTGCTGGGCACTGAACGTAGGGGCTGGGTATACTCACCGGTAACTTGCCATTGTCTTCCAGAGTAGAAGTGGAGCTTATTTGTTGGAGGCGACTCCTAACCACTTCCCATATACTTCATTGTCGTGCCATATCGGCGCAGCAGAAACAGGGAGTTTCTTTTAGTTTTAAAGAATTTCGGCCCTTTGTCTGTGGATACTGCAGTAGGTTTCATTGTTAATCGTGTATTTAGTCATCTTTTCTCTTGCAGTTCGTTTTTCCATTAAGCTTATAACATTCACAGATTTCTTCAAAACGAGACAGAGCGAATCTCTGCAGTGGGTTGGTATCACCCTGTTTCTAGAATAAAAAGCTGAGTTTATCTTCCATTTGAGAGAATTTCCTTCATATCCTTGTGAACCATGAAATCATGTGACTGCCAAGTCAACAGCTGTTCTGTTCGTAGGAAGAGAATTGATTCCTAATTTTCCAGTTCTATCCTTATTCATCACAAATGTGTGGGCGGATTTATTGTAGGGCTCAAAGGCTTCCACGTATTCATAGTTCTTATATTAACTGCTTTTATTAGAGTGTGGTGTTTCTTGAGTGGTGTAGTATTTTACTTAGGTGACGGATATTGTAAGAGTTGACTAGAATGAAAAAATGAAAAAGCCACTGCTGTGAAAATTTTGTGATTAAATTATCGGTGATTGTCTGGTGGTTGGTTGTTTCCTCGCTTTTAATTCAATTTCACCAATTATGTTTCTGTATTCTTTTTTAGTATTCCATAAGGTTTTATTTAAACTAAGGTATGTTGGTTTGTGTACTATTTGTCATACTAGCCAGCATTGGAAACAGAGAGTTTGGTGTGAAGGGTGATAGTGGCATGTTTTTTTTGCTGTCCTGTTGGCTCAATAAGAGCTTTTGTTTCGCTGAAAACTACTACATGTGTAATACACAGTTTATAGTGTAATCCTCAACATGGGTAGTCAAACTCCTTTTGCTGGCTAACCCGCCTTATTTTCATTCGTAGTAATATGGCTTGCTAATAATTCTTTTTAGTTTCCACTTAATTCTTTTGTGTTTTTATCATTTCTGCGGTTTTTTCAACACATGTGGTTGCGTTGAATGTATCAGGCGGTAATTTCAGGAACACAAACAGACATAACATTGAAGGTCCTGTCCATTCGCTAATCGTCTATCCGGAAATTTTGAGGAGGCATGTAATTTTTTATATATATCGTATCAACGTTCATTATTGTGTTCTGTTAGGTATCCAACGGATGATCACAAGGATTTTCATCTCCCTGCTGACGTCACTGTGTTCTGTCAACCTGAAGGATGCGTTACGATAAGTGTGTGCCTCGGATTATACTGTTAGAAACCTTGTGTTAATGTTTTTTTCTGTAGAAATTTTTACATACAATGTGCCTTTTAACTTATTTAGATGCTCACAGCAGGCGTGGACAGTCAAGGGATCCACAGTTCTTTGTTTTCATGTTAACAGAGAAGGACTCAGCAAAAATTAGATATGGTGTCTGCCTGAATTTTTACCAGTGTTCGGAGAAGCGAATATTGAATGCAGATCGAAAAGCTAGCAGAACAGAATGCGGCAAGAGAGGGTTAAGTTCAAATAGATTTATCTTAAGACTACTTTAACAATCTTTAAGTGTAGGTGAGGGATGTTATGCGGGATTATTTTACTGATTTCTTAGCAAGAAAGTGAAATATATTAGTGATGGAGGTATTTTACTATGGAACATTGTCAGAAGTTGTTTAATAAACTTTTGTTGTTGCTAATGATTTGCATTTCAGAAGAGACCATGCATTAACGTTGACTAGCTTGTGTTTTATCTCTCATCATCCTTTTGTTTCAATCTTTCACGACATTCTTATCCTACTGAAGCAAATTATTGATAGCTGTAGTTATCGAGCGGCACAACAAACGAACATCAAGTAAGTGAAAAGATTAGGAATTAGATAAGTCGTACTCAAGATCAACCATTGAATTACTATTTAAATTATGTAGGGACATTGCGTGGTCTGTCTTAACGGGCCATTGGCATGATGCGATTCCTCCGGAAGCAATGCGAGAAATTAAAGAAATCGAAACATGGATTCTGATGCTTTTAAGTTCGCCTGTACCAGTGCCGGGGAAGACGAAAGTGCAGTTAGAGGTTGAGAACAGACCCTTATGAATGGTCAAGATTTTTTTTTACTAGCTGTGTTGCCTTTAAGGTGATGCCGGCGGATATTTCTCCTATTTTCGAATTTGCTTTACCTGATCACACTCGTTTTTCGCTTGTCGATTTCCCAATTCATCTTCCCTTTGAATTGCTTGGAGTTGACGCGGCAGTTCGTGTTTTGGCAGCCATTATGCTTGAATTTAAGGTTAGTTCTTTCTTTATGTTTCCTACACCACTTTGTGATTAATTAGACAACCGCCTAGGTAAGCTCTTAATTGTCACTATAATATTTTGTTTTCATTGTTTGATAATGCTTGTTTGATTTTCAGTGTTTATAGAATACTCAACATCTAAAGCGAACAGTTTAAGGTCGTCATTCAATCCCGAAATTATAACGCTGTTAGTATGTGCGTGCTGTCTCTAGTGCATCTTTTGTATCCTCTTGAATATATGTTTCCAGTAATACCTCTGCTACCTGCTTATATGCCATCAGCAGAACAGGTAACATAACCGGAAACTATTCGGCGCTCAGTTTTCAAATACTGTGAATACTAGCTGATTTCAGCTTTTGCTAGCTCCGACCCCATTTGTAATTGGCGTTCCGGCTTCGTTTTTCGCCCACAAACGAATTAAAGAAGTGCCAAGTGATGTGATTCTTGTGGACTTAGACTCCAATCAAGTCACTGTTCCTGATGATCTATTCATTCCGAATCTACCTGAGCCAGATGTGACAACGTTGAAGGTTTGGAAAACAGTGTATTTTCTAATCAGTGCATATCGTTTAGATATGTATAAGGGTAACAACTGTGCACTTCTTCTTAGTTCTATGTAGAGACGGGCCACGAAATTGGTAATTTGGTTGTGTTGAAGTGGTCTTAGGAATATTGTAAAATGTGACCACAAGGATGCAGAGATAGGAGCAAAAGTCGTGACCTCAGGTGGGTTCCGAACCCGAGATTATACTTCCCGGATGCTTAAATGCTATCCACCACACCAGTCGAGGCCCTTGTTTTGCTTCTGTCACAGCCATGTTTTTACTCTATGGGCCCTATCAGCAATCACCCGTCAATGGGAATGAACTGAGGAGTAGAAATCGGTATTGAACTAAACTAAGCTGAAACTGCAGGTTGAAATGACGACGTTTTAACTTTAGCGTACCGCTTATTCGATTTTTGTGGGTTCGAAGCCCACCTGAGGTTCCATGTTTTGTACTCAGCATCCTTATGGTTGTGTTTCACTCAGTACCCTGACATAGAAAAAGAGTAGGCAGTGAATAAAAGTTAGGATATTCTAGAACATAGCTTTTTGTGATAACAGTAGTAAGACTGTGTGTGTGTTAAGTTCCAAGCGGATCAAAAATAATGATTTACAAAACTATGGAGTTATAACAAATGTTTTGTAGTACAACTAAGTGTTCAATATATTGACACGACGTACTAGAATGAGAGGTATAACTAGAAACGAATTTAGCATCTTCAGATTTCTAAGAGATTTCCAATGGAAGATAATACAAAACAAAGGTTTTGAGGTGATATCACTACAAAGGATCACAGTCATTATTTTTCAGAATAGCCTGATAGCAGCGCTGAGCTCAATGAGCTTGAGAGCTGATAACGAGTGTGAAGAAAACTTAGAAGCTTGTTATGCTGTCGACGCTGACATTGTAGACGTGTCGTGCCGAGTTGCAATGGTAGATAAAACGCTATAGTAATTGATATCTTTAAATTCCTGTTATTTAGTGACAGCGTTGCAGGTGAAATTCTTCAACTCACCCAATGTGTTTGGGAATTTCTCGGAACATACTCGAACTCTGCGCCTATATCCTCGTCCAGTTGTCGCTTTACAATCTGAATCGTTTCTACGAAGTCGTCCTCAGTGTACTCAGTTCATTACCGACCTATGTAGGTTAGTGATGTACTATTTCTATTAAATGGGAGAAATTTCATAGTTATTTCGGTCGTTTAAATAGCAAGGATCAGATCGAATAAGTAAGGAGTTATATAGAGAGATATAGAAATTAATTTAGTTAACTATGCACTGATATTGAGTTAAACCGCGGATTACCACAACTACACATCTTCATATCTTTACTAATAACTGGAAAGTATGCAGAGTCCTGTATGCTGTGAGAAAGAATTGTGGCAAATTACCATTCCTGTTACAAAATGTATTTATGGTCAAGAGTAGGTTTTCGATCTGGTTCACGATCGGATGTTGTTTCTCATGATTAAGCAAAGAAATTTTACAGACCATAGTATATAAATAGGGCGCGTCTGGCGCAGTGGTCGTAGACGCCCTTCAACAGAAACGTGGAATCGGTCCCGCGCCAGTCACCTCCAAAGGATGTTTAATGAAGTCGAATGCATGGTCCATCCCTCAGGGATTGATCAACGCCGAGAGCTTGATTTTGATCTTAATGTAAAAAGTGTTAAGTAGGACTAAATGCAATTAGGAAGCTTAAGAAATGTTGGAAAAAACGAAGGATAGAGCTAAAGGCATGTGTGGCGCAGTGGTTGGAGGCGCAACTGCAACACACACGTGGAATCGATCCTCGCGCCCATGGCCCACCAAGCCTTCGAAATGTAGATAAGTAGCAATAGAATTCATCCACTGCACAAGACTCATGAAAATCTGAGGTATGAAGTAATTCTCAAAGGTGCTCATGAAATCCAAAAAATATCACGGAAGTCTCAATGGCTGTTATGTCGAATACGTAAGTTTCTTGCTTAGATTAGCTTATTGCTTTGATCTCTTCTGCTTTAAAAATTGGAAGAAAATCGTATCCTCATCTGTGAACATTGTTCTAAGATCGTCATTTTAAATATGAGATGATGACTCTACGTCTTTGATGATTGTATTCACGATTTACCCTACTGTTCAGGACGCAGGCAGTGGAGTATTTTGCCGAATGTTGTTTATGTCCGAGAAACGAAACGTTTGTTCGTGTACAGGCGGGTATCGACAATCCCACTCAGATTGGAGATAAAGCTAAATGGTTTAGCGAGTCACTGATGCCTGTTCACTTCACTGTACGTGCTTATTTTCTCTCCTTCTTCTATTGATCACAGTTGACTTAATGATAAGTCTTATTAGGTTTACCCAAACGCTTCTTCATTATGTTCTGCTTACTATGCTTACGCACGAGACAATGGCGGTGTGGATTCCGAAAGTGACGACAATGAATCCAGATCGATTGATAGCTCATCAAGTATCGACGATTTAGTATTCGACGGACCCGAAGAGGGTGTTGGTAAGTAACATACTAGCTGTTCAGGAAGTGTTTCGTCTTGTTTTAGTTTCACCAATAAAAGCGTTTAGAACGGGATATCATAATCAAGCCTTTGGCCGAGGTAAACGACGTTTATAGAGAGCCGTTAACTTTGGAATTGCCACCTAACGACAGCGCTGCATCTACTGGAAGCTCCATCAGCAGTGGGAGGTTTGCACACATTTCTATCAATTGTGTCATACAACTAGTGTTAAAAAATATAGCATCGGAAGCTCAGTGGTTAGAGATATCGTGCAACACACCCATGCTAGTTAATTTGATTTTGCTTTGGGAAAACCAGACCATTTTCCATCCGGATTTGGAAATTCAGTGCCAGGAAAAGGTCAAGGAATGGCTTCTTTCGATCCAGAGACCAACGACTGCTTGTGGACACTTAAGGAGAACACTCTAGCCCAGCCAACCCAGGATTGCAGGGACAGTTATCTCGACCAGCGTTCAGCGATATTGATGGTGAAGGTGAAATTCTCACGTAGCATTCGAATTCACACGCATCCCCGATGATCTTTGTGGGTAACGGTTTCAAAGCACCCGAATAAGGGAAGTGTTGGGTTGTGAACAATATCTGAATTAGAGTTATTAAAAATGTTAGGCAAAAGAAAATCACGCTTTTAAACCCAAAAAAGAAGCTTGGATGGAGTAGTCATATTTAATGTGTTTTCCTAGAGTCCGCTGCCTTGTCTGGTGTGAACGATTCTGCTATTAAACTAATCGATGCCTACTCGTTCGCCGAAAGGAACGTAGTGAATTGAAATAAAATTATGGCCGGCTGATATGCTTCTCATATTTGAGTCATACATAGTTTCCTCAGTAACTAAGTGTAGATTTTGTGTGTGTGTGTGTGTGTGTGTGTGTGTGTGTGTGTGTGTATGTATGTATGTATGTATGTATGTATGTATGTATGTATGTATGTGTTTATGAAGGGCAGTTAATAAGCAGTTACAATTACCATTACTCTTTATGAAAAAAGGCAGTCTCGCACTGCTAGGCAACGCCACGGAGTAAAGAGCCATTTATATTAACCTCTTCTGTGATCCTCTCCTTATCCTTGTGTGTATAGAGGATAGTTTTTTTAGTCTGACATCTCAGGATACTAGTTTCATGTTGGACGAGTAACCGATTGAATATAAAAAGTGCCGGAGTAAATGTCTACGAAGAAAAATAGACAGTTGAAAAGAAAGCAAGTTGATACAAGTTAATGCGGATCGATCTACCCTTCTATTCTCACCTATGGATGGAAATGAACTCCCATAGGGCTTGAAATGTTAATGATTGTGATGCAATCACACAAAGGACTAGTAGTTCATTACACTCAAAATGTATGCTTGAGTTACTAGAAATTTTATCCAACTGGATAAGTTAGTAGAAATCCCACCTATGCCCGTATTATTTGGTATAAGACCAGTTCAACAAAAATATGTGGCTGCACATGGGTGTTAATAAAACAGCGTTTATGAATTTTGCATTTGTTTCATGATGTCTGTGTTAAGGTCCAGTCCAACGTCGTCTCTTTCAGCCTCTGCCATTGACAGCGAGGCAGATTTTGCTAGACTTGCCGAAAATCTTGCTTTAAAATCGGATTCTAAGGTGTGGTGATTCTTTTTCGTTAGCCATTAATTTAAATTTATGCATACAGTGTCTTTTGTACTGTTAAACTGAATCCAAAAAGAATATTTGCTGTGCAGAATTCTTCATGGTTAATGAGTTTTGCTAACAGTTGGGTTAGGAATGCTCGGTTGGATGTTTATAGAAGTATTCGCTTCTCTGAAGGTGTGTTTTAGGGTGCCTTTTCGTTTCGCCATAGTGATGACGGAAATTTCGAAACGACTCTAGTTCGGCAGCGGCATGGTAGAACTAGCGATTTAAGCCCTCTTACCTCTGTCAAAACACCAACTCTGAAAGGAATGCGCATAAAGGTAGGTGAGGCACCCAGTTAGAATCACTTTCTCACCAATCCTCTTTATTTCCTACTTGTTAACTGTAATATTAGCTTGAGTATTTCGTATACGCATAAACACTCTTGCTTTCTTCGTTTCAGTTCTTCTTCTGCTATTTGTAAATGCGTCAAGCTTAAGAGTGTTTTTCACGTTTATTTGTAGTTTGTGAGAACTGTTCCTGAATAGAGGAATTCCCTTAAAATTTCTGTTATTCTACTTGACGCTGCGGTTATAAGGAGCGGAAGTGAATCACAACGGAAGCAAATTCAGGGCTTTCCGTCACTAACAGATTCTGGCGAAAAGGTTTTGGGTCCGACATTTATGAGCGCAATAAACGGATGCGCAGAAAGGAGTCAAGATATTTTTAGCCAGGTAAACTACATTATAATGACGCTTAAGTTTTTCTTCTTAATGCAGCTAGAAAGCCTCTTTGTTCTCCAAGAAGATGAATAAAAGGCCTGTCACTCTTCACCAGCAAAGTCAACTAGCAGCTGTGGCAGTTTTTCTCGAAACGCGTTAAAAACAGCGGCGGTGTTCCACTAATTCCGTTTAGCGCTAACCTTTAAGTAACGTTTTTTTTGGTGTCCATCAAAGTGTTTTTAAGTTCGTTTCTTACTTAGCTGATCTTCAGAGACCTCGAGCAAATTAGATCATTTGTTTTAGTGAAATCTGTCTTGAGTGATAGCAGAACCGACTTGCTTCTACTTTAAAGTTTATTATTAACCAAACGAAATTTTATCTAGGTCCGCTAGTTTGAGGCGCGTGTAGCGCAATGGAGGTGCCTTGTAGTACACACTGGATCAATCACTGATTTAATCTCGTGCCCCGGACACACCATTCATTCCGTCTCTTCAGGGTCGGTTAACTGCTACCAGACTTGTCTGGGAGAATAACAACATTGACTTGGTACATCGGTAGCACAATTTACGTTATTGCGTAGATCAGATGTGCATTCGACTACCTCTGCGATGTCCAATCAAGTCGAATGCATGCAGCTTTCCTTAGGGGTTTATCATCGCCGAAGGCTTTATTCCTTCATCTTTTTTATCGTCCGTTAGTTTAGAAAAAGTAATTCTGTTCTCGCTGTCTATGTGGTAATCCATGTATTTCATGTACTTTTTTGTGGTCTTTATTTCTACGACACGTTGCCTGTATATAACACAATCTAACCAGGTGCTGTGGATATGATACCTGCTGGAATTTATGTTAGGTTCATGATCAGTGGTCGTCCTTCCATACTGAAATGCTTCCAAATACTTTTCTAAATTTCCAGTGTGTGAAAATTATCAGACCAATCTGTAGTGGTAATGCTGGTGGTTTTGAAAACTAGACGCCTCGAAAGTTTTAGAACTGGACAAATCCAAAGGAAAGACTTTACGCTATCGCTATAGAGACATATGTAGTCCCTCTTAAGTGTTTCTGTTTCTAACATTTAAATTAAAATCAAACAAGTTATGAATTAAATTTGTTGATGTAAGCACGACAGAAGCTCACATTGATAACATTAGCGGGGACGGGGATAAGGAAAAGAAAAGATTTCAGAACCTATACCTTTTCATTAAGATTCTTTTGATTCCAACAGTCTTTGTAAAGGTTGATAAAATTAGGTATACATCGAATTCTGCTTGCTAGATGTCGGAAAGGGGCGCGTATGGCGCAGTGTTGGAGGCGCCACTTCAAACACACACGTGGAATCGATCCCCGCGCCCATGGCCCGGCAAGTCTTCATTCCGGCCGGAGTTGGCAAATTGGTACCAGACTTCTCTGGGAGGATAGAAGTACTAGCTCGATACATCGGTAGGCCACCGCGAGTCATTGTAGAGGCCAGATATGCATTCAGTGACCTCCAACGATACTTAATGAAGTCGAATGCATGGCGGATCCCTCAGGGATCGGTCAACGCCGAAAGGTTTATGCTTTTTTTTAAATGTCGGAAGCCGGAGTTCTTTCCCATAACGTATGAGTTTAAATCATTTCATATCGGCGTACTCGGTGATTGTCAATAAAGCCATGTTTTTATTGTTTAAGGTACTAAATAGAACAGCTCCTAAAGCACAAGCTTTACGTGAACGGACGATGAGGCCACTAGCTGCCGCTGCTGCTACTAAGATGGAGCAAAGTCAGCATTTAGTGAAAAGGAAAACGACTATTAATCAAACTAGTACTCAAGCCGCTTCTCAACAAAGGTAATTGCCTTAGCCTTTCTTTATTTTTTCCTTTCGTTCTTTCTTTCTTTTTTCTTTCTCTCCTTCTTTTGCTCTCCCTCTTGCTTTCCGTCTCTGTATCTGTCTACCTGATCGTCTGTCTGTCTCTTTGTCTTTCCGTTCTATCTATCCATCTTTCTCCCTATCTCCGCCTCTATTCGACTGATTCAAATTAGCACTATTGTCCTGAAAGCGAAGTGAGCACTCTCCATCTATTAGTTATTGTAACTATTAGTTATTTCAAAGACGACGTAATATTTGGATGTAACAAGTTATAGAGAATCGAGTTTTAGGAGGAAAACACATTTTTTTAAAATAACCTTCAGGCTCTTATCACAATAGTTGTTACGAAAACTAGAACTCCATGTTGTTTTCGAAGACAAAAGCATTCGTAGAGGACTCATGCTTTACTGCTAGTTTGTATTTGAGGAATAAAGTACCTTGTTCCTATCATCCGCAGATTCTGTTGAAAATCGAAAGTCGAAATACTCTATAAATACTGAGTGTTCTATGTTTACTGATATTTACCATTCTCTGCATCCAACCGAAATCGTTGTATGTGAACAAAGTATTACTTCCAGAAGAAACATCAAGACAGAGGTTGATTGCTCACGATAAATCCACGGCACCCTTATTGCACCTTGGATATAACCATTCAAATGCTTGTTCACAAGTAGAGGACGCAGTTATTAAGTAAAATTCTTGGGTGGCAATGACTCCTAGCAGTAGTTCAATCTTAAATAGATTTCGACTGGGAATGTCGGACTCATTCTCAGTATGAGAGAGCTTGCTGGTGAATGTAACCCGCTGTACGTTGCACTTCGATACCCAGGAACACCTACGAGATACGTTGAAGTGATAAACTAACTTAAAGTGTCAATAACAAAGGTCATCGTGAACTATAACCGACAACTTTATGGTGTCTTTCACTTCACTGAGTGAAGTTGATTTTTCCAAAGAGAAAGGCTTGGTTTCAAGAGTAGTTTTACCTATATTAGTGAACGCAACTCTTCTTGTTACCAAATTGTGTGTTTTACTGGGAAGTTCCTATTTGTTTTGTGCCAAAGGGTTATAGTGGAAAAGCGCTTTTTGTTAGAAGTGAAGATTAAGGCAAATTGCTTTACTTAATGGGCTTTCACTTAAGCAGAGCGTGGATAATTGACATATTTCTTTAGATTGCTGCTCTTAAGATGGCGAAACCGCCGAAACGTTGGCGGAATAAAAATTTCGTAACAACCTCGTGTATGCTCATCAATCTAAAGAAATATATTAGGGTGAATTATTAGAATCAATTGATACATATGGCTGTTTGTCAAGGTTTTCAATTTATGAGGTATATTGTAGCAAGAATCAGCAGACCGTACGAGAGATCTGTGATCATGTTTTGTCTGGACAAGGTGTTGGCGTCTTCACATACGCTAAACTGAAACGGTAACCTTTGCTCCGTGTTCACATTGTTAGTTTTCACACGCATTTCCTTATTGGTGCAATTTTCAGATTGATGGAAGATGAGAGCCTTCGAGAATTAGTGTGTTCGAAACTGAATCTTGGGCTGGAGCAGAGGTTGACAGATGAGGAATATGTGAAGGAAATCGTGAGCTACCCTCGCTCATCAATCGATTCTCCATTTAGCCTTTACCACTTTTCATCTATTAATCGGTCAAATACGTTATTTAAGACTTTGACAAGGGCGCAGTATAAGGGCTATGTTCGAGTGCTTCAAGCGTGCATAGCAGGAATTGAGGTATATCCCCGTGTTTGTTTCTCAGTCAACAATTTCCAAGCTTTATCAGGCGGTTCTTCTCAGGTCTCCTTTAATAGTCCTGGCTGTTGTGGTTTAGCAAGTGTATTCCACGTGCTTGAGATAGCGCACACGCACTACTGGTGTAAGGGAAACGAAATTACATCTCCATCTAGTTCTACTCCAAGTGCGGTATGTCCATTCTATAAAAACTTCCCAAGCTAGACTTTCTTTAGGTTATTTTGCTGTTTTTGTTAATAAATGATATTTTACTCTGCGGCTAGCTGTAATGCTGAATTTTTTTAAGCAAGCTGCCTGTAAGTTGCAATTGTTTATCCTTATTGATCCTTATTGGCTGTGGCACTTCACCTTCTACGCGTTATTTTATAACTGCCGCTTTATACATTGGCTTTGTGTGAACACAATATTTTATGCGATATGTTGACTACGTTCGAGAAATCGATGCACGTTAGATGTAGTTCTTGTTTGTTGTAATACTTAGAACACCAGTATAACAAACAAGCTACGGCTTCGGTTTTAAACTGTATTCGATATTCTTGCTAATTATCGATACTAGCCCTTGATCATTCTTTTTTTGTGGTCAATATCAACCTTTGATCATTCACGTTTAAGTTTTTGAACAACTAACAGTCTTCTTTGCAGCTGGTAACACCATCAGCGTCATCTCCGGATCTGAAAGACCTGACTGATGGCTCCCCTAGAACAAAGCTTCCTACGTCCTCTGTCGACATCCGAACACCAACTCGTCCAATCGGCAATCAAATCTCTCCTGATGACTCCTTCTTACGATCAGCTTCGTTAGTGAAAACTCTGTGGTTATTTTTGTTCTTGCTGAAATTCCAGTATTGCGGTTTACTAATCGCATTCCATCTTGGTTCGGAGCATTCTATTTACGTAGTAAGGCACACAATCACTTGTGACCAAAGCCAAGGAGGTTGCATCCTCTAGGTTTTAATTAACCGTAAGTATGCCACAATTTAGAAGCAAAAGTTTCACAGTTGTACAGATCACTATAAACAGCAGTATTTAGCTAAAGAAAACAACAACAGTTCGCGAATTTCAGATTCAATAAATATCCATGGAAAACTTATATGAATTGAATATCCTACTACTGCTAACACGATCGCTTTCAATTCTAGGTCATCTAATAAGTCACAAGCAGCTGTATCTCCAGTTCCACCACCACTACCTCCTCGGGATACTGTGTCACCTGCACTACCAAAATCATCTCAACTAATTCAAAATGGACCACCTTCTAGTCCACCTCCACCTCCACCTCCACTTCTCCTGTCTACGAGTTCACCTCCAGTTGGCCCTTCAAGATTTCCGCGTCCTGACCGAAAACCTCCACCTGTGCCTCCTAGGCCCAATTCTGCAAAGCTAATTGATGTTCGAGACATTCCAACCCATGTAGAAAGCGTGAGATATCGTACGGTAACTATTAACCTTTATTTATTAATTTTTTGAATTTTCTTAATCACTTAGGCACCTTCCAGATACCACCAGCTAGCCTACCAGTTGAAAAAGCAGGACCACAGAAAGTGCCAACGATGCCCTTTGAACCGATACGACATTACATTTACCAGGATTTAATACGTTGGTATATCAACAGTTAACTTGCTCAAATGCTTTAATTTATGCGAGTAATTGTAGTTCCTGCACAAAATCCTCTTTGGCAGAAGATGGTCTTCTGGGAGAATGCATTCGTTGACGTAGTGGCACAAGAACGAGATATTGTGGGAATGGATCAGGAGCCATCAGAAATGATTGACAGGTTTGGATATCAGCTTTACTAGTACCTTTATGCAAACTTTTTTTCCCAAAGAGTCGTGGTGCAGATATGCTGCTCTAAGCGATTTCGAGAAGAAAAGGCTAGAATTAGAAGAAGATCGCTTACTGTCTACGCTGTTGCATAATCTAACGGCTTACATGATCATGTGTGGTACTGGACAGAAGGCGATTCAACAGGTTGTTTCTTTTTTTCCTCTTCCTCTTCTTTCCTTCTTTCTTATCCCCTGTCAATTGCTTCACATAGAGGTCTTCTTTTCTCGATTTGAACGTTTTACTGGTGGAAAAAATTCCTCGTTTTGTTCTCAGAAAATACGTCGTCTACTTGGAAAAGCGCATATTGGACTTGTATGTTCTAAGGAAATTAACAAATTATTGGATGATTTGCCTCAGACGGTTTGTAATTTTGCTTTTATTGCTGAATGTTTTAAATGTTTACGAGGGAGAAGTTCAATTTTTTACATTGATGCTGTAAAAGTATTCTTTTCCGTTTCAGCAGGGAAATCTAATTCCTTTAAAACCACTCGGAAGTCGTTTAGTCCAAAAGCATTCGTTCACGGTGTATGCCGGATCAAGTTCTCAAGACGAAATGATGTTCATGGAAGTAAGTGGAACATGTTTTCACTTATTTTTTTTCAAAATTTTTATAAATGGTTTGTTTTATCTTTATATATGGCAGCAACAAAAATAATTTTCATTTATGCCAAGTCGCTTATGAGACACGAATGTGTGACATTTGAAATGCGAAATATAGTTGATTTTTCTGATTTGAATCTATAAATACAGGGGCGGATATCACAGTGGTAGCGACGCCCGTCATCGCGGGCTTCCCCCGATGGCCAACCAAGCCTCTCATCCTCGGGGTCGGAAAATTGGTACCGGATTTGTCCGGGAAAAGATCGCTCTCTATAATCCAACTGGGATCGCTCCAACCCGGCTATCTCAGGACTCCAGGGAAGATTGCTCGCCAGCAATCCACGACATTCAAGATGAAATGAAAATCCTCAAGTAGCACGTAAAAGTATCCTCACATCACAGTATCCTCACACGTAAAAGTTGGTAGATCTTCTTCGAAAATGGCTGCGAGGAAACGAATCGAATGTGAGAAGTGCTGGGATCTGCACGTTTGACGTGAAGACGTGTCCAATAAAATGGAAAAAGTGCAGTGCAGACAACTTTCCGACTTCAGTTTACTACTTTCTGCTTTTCTTCATTGTTTTTTTCCTTTTCTTAGCAAAGTATGGGTCCCAGATCTTACTGTCCTCTCTTTATTAGCAGTTGTTGATTTTTCTTGGCAGTTATTTCGTGCATATATGATATGTGATATTGATGTTTTCACTTTTGTTTCTTTAGTTTGTTCGTCTTGTTTTGAAATTTATATTCTGTTTCTAGAAATTTGTGTTCTTTTGAGTTTGTTTGCTGTATTAGGGCAGTTTTCAACTATCTTATTCTTTCCTGAGTATGAAAACTCGACAAGAGAGAACGGAAACCGGGAAGAACCTTAAACGATTAAGATTGATCATTTTTCAGTATTTAAGTGAGTTCTGAATGTTTTATGTGTGTGATGACGCAGTTGTTCTACGTGCAATAACTGGTGCCGTGACAGAGCGATGGTGGTATGAACGACTGGTCAACATGACTTACTCTCCTAAGACAAAAGTTCGTCATGTTTGAATTATTTATTCGAGTGTTTACCTGAGAATGGAGAATCATTGCTTATTGAATACTGTTGAATAATATTCTTTTTTAAAGGTTCTTTGTTTATGGCGGCGACATGAGGACAAAGTTCACATGCATAAGTTCTACACAAAAAAGGTAACTAAAAATACGTTCTTGTTGCTTTGCTGAATGTTCTGCTTTCTTCACTTACTAATTTAGTTTCTTGTTTTTCAAAAAGAATGATACGAGAAAACACATGGGGAATAAGACACTAAAAATCACCTGTATCACATGTAGTCTCGTTGATCGTCGAGTAACTCGAGCGGGCGCCACTAAATCTTCCATTTTTTCTGTCGTGCGCAAGAGTAGCCCAAGGGGTTTTTCGCTGTAGGGCCTCGTTGAGCACCATATCTTTCTTCTAGGCTCTTCATGAAGAAATCTGACCATCGAGTCAGTGGTCTTCCTGCAGTACGTTTGATATCCCGAGGAATCCAGTCACTGACGGCTCTTGTCCATCGGTTGTCATTCATACGCATTACGTGTCCTGCCCACGTTATCTTCGACTGTTTGGCATATAGAATGGCATCTTTGATTCTTAATCGTTGAAGCACGTCGGAGCTTCGGATTCCTTCCCTTGTATGAAAAGGGTACACCTAAGGATGCATTGGAAATGCGAAGGATTTGTCTGTCATGTTTCGTAAAAGAGCGAAATAGTAATGAATCATTAGTCTGCTTCACAATCTTTAATAAATTTCGACGAATTGCAAAAGGGAAAGAAGAATTTTTAGGGCTAGAATACTCACCTATTGTAGCCACTTTTAATTGTAGTGTCGTGAACTGTACCAGTGTATGAAGAACGCCATGGAGCGTGCAGCTGCTCGTGGTCGGGTTTCAGTGGAAGGTCGTGCACTCGGTGGTGAATTTCCCGTGCATGATACTGAGAAGAACCAGGGTGGACTTCTACAAGTTCGATGCGATGGCGTTGCCATTATTTTTGAAAACAGTCAGGTATGAAGCCGGTAGAAGTTCCGAATTTTACTTTCGAACAATCTAGTAGTGAATCTAGTAATTAAACTTTTAAGCAGTTCATTGATCTGTCTAACATCAAAAAATGCAACACTTTTGGTGGCAACGTTTTCCTTCTCGAAGAGTATGGTGAGTTTTTGCTTCAGTGCTGATATTAACAGGTTTTGGGTTTTCAGCATTTAAAAAAGGAACAAATATGAGTGTTTACTTGTCTTTCGCCAAGCACTCAGGGTTGCTTGAAAGTTTTGCTTTTTAGATCATAGGTCGGTGACTAGGATTCCAGGTTTTTGTGATTTGACTTGCTTAATGCTTCTGATAAGAATTCGAGAAACACGTAGCAGAATGGATATAGTGCCGTGTAATACACACAAGATCACAACGTTGCTGAGATATTTGCAGAACTCTGGACCGCAGGTGTCTATGGTAGGGAACGAACGCGCTATTGTCCTTTCCGGGGAGTAACGCGTTCACCACCACACCATGCGGGTCCTTTGTTTCGCCTGTCTCTCAGCTATTTCTATCGATCTTTGTCACAGCAATCACCCGTCAGCGGGATTGATCTGGGGCGCCCAAATCGGCATAGAACCCAGTTAAGCTGCGGCTGTAGTTGAAATCACAATGTTATACTTTTTTATTACAATGTTATACTTTTTTATTTTCTACCTACTATATAGAGTTTTGCAAATATCTCAGCAACGTTGTGGTTGTATTTCGTTTAGTACCCTGCCGCGAAATTGTAGTAGGCAGAATATAAAAAAGTATAACACACAAGATCGTTAGTTAGGTCAGCTAAGGGCTAAGCAAGTCTTCCGGGCTTTGTGGGTTTATACTTAGATTTTCTGAGAGGGTAAGGGATAAAAAGCATTGCCGTGGTTTGTTTAGAAATCGAATTACTATGAGAATCCACTGGGCTATATTCTAAAGACACTTAAGCCGCTTTGAAATCAGTTTTATTGGCAGGCAGTGTTCTAAATATCATGATCTCTCAAGTGATGTAATGAGAAAGCAACCATTTCAATCGTCTTCTGAATATCCAACAGGCGCTAGAAGTGTATGGGTGTACCCTAAGGCTAACGTTTCTGAGATGTATGAGATATTTGTCTTTCAACGGATCAGATTCGTAGCCTAGTGCATCTTTTTTACGTGTAGCTCAAACCACTAGACCATTGGACGCACATCGCACATCCGACATTGTATGGCGCTTCTTCTTGTTATTCTTCATCTGATCGTTCTTGTTATTCCATAGAAAAAGCTCTTTCTCTAATCTACCCAAATTTTTCGTCGAACGATAGTCAAAAATTCAACTGAACGGTTCGTGACGCTACGTGATCATCTTCATCAATTCATTAAGGAAAAATTCCTTATACTAGTGTTATACAGAGACCATTGAATTTCCATTCTCTAAAGCAGTCGCAATGTTCCCTAATTAGAATGGCATAGGGAATGCACCCTAATATGTGAACGCCTTCGACAATTTTGTTAGAGCTACACGCTGCCTTTTAGTTTGCAGGCACTCGAACGTGATAAAATTATTTCACCTAAGTTGTGCAGAAATGTTAATCAACTTCAAAAATGTTAAAGTGGTTAACTTTGTTGATTTTCTGATTGTGAAGTTGAACGGGATTTTAGCTTTCTTGCTTTAAATTATCGATTTTGTCTTATAGCCAGAGCTGTGACATGATATAAGAAAAGTAAACGTGCAATGATAAACGTTACACCTGTACGAGAAAGTGTGAGTTACGGCATAGATGCCTTCCACATTTTTACCCGGCTTTCCGCCATTAGAGTATTTAGTTTTTCCTTTTAGCCGTAGTGTTCACCCCTATAGATGGCTTCTCGGCTACAACTTATTTGATCAGTCAGAATGTTATGAGTGTGACTTATAGTCGTATGAAAAATCTTTGCATGAGTAAGGTTCTACTTACTCTTCTATTAGTAGTAGATGATTCGATCAGTGTTGTCATAAGTTAAATTTTCTGTTTACAGAATTTTTTTTCTGCATTTCTTAGAACCTATTCTGAATCCAGTACAAGAGAGAACTGAAAGCTGGAAGCATAGGAGGAATATATATTTTTAAACTTAGGAGCCTCCCACCAGGTTACCGCTTCATCGTGGCTGAGGTGTTCCTGGGTGTTGGGCTGCGATGCACAGCAGGGAATTCATCCCCGGCAGAGTCTCCTAAGCTGAGAAGGAGTTTCCCTGTTTTCATCAAGAACCCCAGTTAAGAAGAGTCAACCAGTACCAGGATCCGTCACCGTCCTGGTGCCGCACTAGTCGCGTGGTGGCAGATCCACCTCTAATCCACAAGGGCGGCGACTACCGGTGGTGGAGACGACCTGGAGCAGACTTTGACCTGGCTGACCTCGGGGTTCCAGGAAACCACAATGGCTAAACTAGCAAATCTCCGAGAAAATGGAAATTGTTTGTGCTGGGGTCCGCACAACTAGTGTGAACGGACCATCAAAGTGTCAGAGTATCTACCATAAGAGTGTGGTTATAAACACAAATTTGTGTTGATTTTATTAGCCACATTAGTTGAAAAAGCATCTATATAAGTACTGTTTATTTTTACGATGTATACTGGCAGAATTTCAGCTAAATAAGGCCAAAAATTACATTAATACATTGATAAAAGAGATGGTAATCGATGTTGTGTTTTGATTTCAATAATTTCAGATCGAAAGAAGAACGAACTCGTGCAACGACGGTACTACTCGCAAATGGTATTGTTTAAATTTACAGAGTGCTTTTTTCATATTTTGGGCTGATTTGTGCGCATGCTTTACTGCAGTATGTTTCATTGTGTTCAGTTTATCTCAGTTGCCTGCAAAAATAGTTGCGAAACGAGATGCAGTAATTAACTCTGTTACCATCTTGTGAATGTGTCTTCGTCGAACTCGACTAGAATATGCTGTTATTGGTTGCGATTTACTTGCACGACCGTCCTAGATCAAATGCGATCGTGGTGAATGTGATTGCGCACATGATGACGATTGGCGGCGCTGTCTCTGGCGTTAACCGGGTTCTTTTGGTCGCCGCGCGCTCTTGAAGAAGTACTCCGTAGTGGAGACCAGTAGCGAGTGACGCTTAAAAGTGATCAGGCTGCCAGTCAATCAATGCCCAATCACAGTTTCATTAGTTTCGGCTCTTCATTACGTTGAAAATAATATATGGAACTTAAGATTACTGAGCAGATATGCTGAGGATTGACGGAGTCTGCTAACTATAAATTTTTATTGTGCGTTTCGTGTGCAATGGTGGGTATACAGTGTTACTATCTTCGTGGTCACCTTGCAGGCACCTTCGATTGCATGGGCGTTGCACCGAGTATTTAGTGTTCAGTTTGCTGCCACTGATGCAAAAGCAGAGGCAACTTTATCATGTCACTAGTGAGTGTATAGCATAAAGTTTCTTGTTAGTGTGTAGAGTATCACTTCTCAGTTTCCAGCAGTTTCTTTATTTGCTTATTGACTACATTTGTCGGTTATATAGTCGTTACTACCACTCTTTTATCACATGTTCGGAACATCGATCAAGGATTCCTCAAGTTGCTCTTGTGCTTCTTTGCTGTTCCGTTTCTTTTTGAATCTACTTTGACCTCTTTATTTATTACAATTTCGTAAATCTGTCGTCTATGCGTTGTTTATGTCTGATTGTAGCATTCAATGTGTTTCATTGAGCAAATGGTATTTGATATTGTTAATGTATCTTGTATTCCGATTTTTAGGCAGATCAGATTTGTTACGCGGTGCTCTGTGTGTTCAGCTTCGCAGCAGCTGGACACAAGAAACCTGAGTGAAACCACTTGTTCTTCATGCGAATTTCGGATACTTACGATGAGTCTCATTAATGAATGAGCTCTGTTTCTCTTCGAAATTTTATGAAATTTTTCTGCCTTTAGATTTTCCTTATTCGAGTTGTGTTCGTTGATTTCACTTTCTCAATGCGACATAAAAGTAATATGGTTTACTGTTAGCATATTACTTAGTGCAATAATAATAGCAGTGGTTGTAGGGATTTTCTACTCATTGTTTCTTCGTAGTGATAAGAAATTGAATCCTATCATGATCTGTATATAGCATCATTTCTTAATTATTAAACTTGGGTAAATCATACATGCTTTTAATAATCAGATCCGTTTGGCATTATGACTTTTAGCAATTGTTTTTTGTAAACATGCTTAATTTATTGCGAGTCCTTTTCGTATTTTGTTTCTAGTCAAGCGCTCAACCCAAAACAGTAAATCAATGAAAGTTGTACTAGATTAGAATAAAATACTTTTTCCACTTGATGTTCGTGTTGAAGTACAACGTTAAGGTAGCAGAAATGAGTGAGTGCTCTATTTCAAAGGTAACCACATTATGCCCGCAATGTAGCACTTGAGAGCATTTGAGGTCACGCCTTGTGCTCTAATACTGCCAGCTCCCTGAGTAGTATATAGTAAGTGTAGAGGACTTTTCATGAACGTTGTTTCATTAATGATTGACTTAATGAGGTGGCTTTAGTTATGGAATCAGGATTATTAATGCACAAAAGAAAAGCTAGTAGATACTCAAAAACCGATTTTAATTTAGCCTTCGGATGAGTAACCAATATTTCCGTGGATTACGCAAGGTGATTATAAAGATTTCTTTTTTATTCGGGTAGCTTTTCAACGATCCGAGTCTATTGTCTAATGGCGGTCGTCGTCGCGATGTTTAAGTTATCGTATATCGTTCTGACGACTTAGTGTAACAATTTAAAAAGCAATGGACTTCTGGTATTGTGAAATGTAATCAACGTGTGCCTTCCGTTCATCTTCTTTATCCTCCATTGTCACCACGAATGGCAATAAATCTCTGCGGGCTCACGTCGAAAACTAATCTAGTATACCGTACAATATTGGTACCTTCGCTGTCCTTGTACTCTCTCACTAGCGATAATCTCCCATAAGATTCGAATTAAGCGAGCAAACTTCTCCAGGAAAAGAGTTTTTTACTATACTTTTAAGTGTATAATAGAGCTTTTTTTGGTCAAAGCCCACCACAACATCTATGTTAGATAGGCTAGTGAACGAATTCAATAAATCTAACGAAAAATCCTGGAGAAAAACTCAGAGCTAATAGCTGGAGGGAGACGAGCAATATGTGAGTCACACCATCGGCAATCTGATAACTAACAAATTAGCTAAAAGCTAACTTAGAATTTGATGCTGAATAATTCACATGTTTTAAAGCGGAATTCAGTGGTATGTAGTTACGATAGCAGAGAATTAAATTGGTCATTAGTTAACAAGAGTAACATCAAATTTTTAACACACATTGGTTCCTTCACGGATTTCAATCACCAATGGTTTTCCGGCTGGTTAGTCACGAAGCTTTGTCGCACGTCATGGTAGCGATAAGGGGATTGAACTGAGACCAAAAGAGATATAGTGGTTCCCCGTGCAGGTGAATCCTGGGGATGAGCTTTCTATTTCTGCAGAGTTGATTTGGCACATATCTTCTATGTAGTGGCCTACCGATGTATTGAGCCAGTGGTGTTATTCTCCCTGACAAATCTGGTACCAATTTGCCGACCCCAGAGGGATGGAAGGCTTGGTGGACAATGGGAGAGGAAATGTATTCCGCGTGCGTGTTGCAGGGCACCTCTGACCACTGTGTCATACACGCTTCCCTTCTCATAATGCAAGGTTCTAATTGAAGGAAAAACCAGCAAGAGGGTGTTGTTGTTACAAAAGGGGAATCTCCGCGACACCAGCAACTATAGTCTAATCTGGCTGTTGTTTACATTCTGTAAACTCTTCAATCTAGTCATCCTAAGCAGGATTGACACAACACTGGACCAAGGGCAGTAATGTGATGAGGCACCGTTTGGAAAAGGATGAGACGCACCACATACACACAATCATAAGTCTCATCAAAGGTATCGCAAGAGTGCGAGAGAATACTTCATCTCACTTTCAGTAGTGTAAAGAAGAAATTCGTCTTGCCTGAGACAAGTGCACTCATGGAAGCCTTGGACAGTTTGAGCGTCCCTATTCAGTGTTAGGTACATATAAAATGCGCGATTTCATTTTTTTAGCTTTTCCAGTAATTTTTTTGAATAAAACTTTTACTTTTTATCTATGTACATTTTGTATATATGTATCTACATGCATTTTTGAATCACCAATTCTGCCCTTTCTATATTTAGTATTGGTTTTCCTCAAAACTCTTTATTTTAAGATTTTAATAGCCTTTAACTTTAGCATGAATCAACGTGATATTCGTGTTTTTTTTTGTAAGAGTGGAAGAGTGCACATAATACCGCGGTAGGAGGTCGGAATATGAGCAAGTTTGGGGTGAAGGTAGTGTTGGTCAGTCAACACTGCGAACATGGTTCCGGAAATCCCGATCTAGTGACTTCAACCTCGAAGATAAGGGAGGCTGCGGATGTCTCAATGAACTTGACGACGTCGAACTAAAGGCACTAGTGGAAGCAAACACGCGAGCAATTTCCACTCACTCGAATCGCATAGGAAAGCCAAGAAAATTCGGCAGTTGAATGCTGCACGAATCAAGCGATAATCAAAAAAATCGTTGTCTTGAAGTGTCGTCTGCTTTTATTCTGAGCAACAAAACCACTATTTCTTCGGTCGAATTGTGACGAGCGAAGCAAAGTGATGCTGTACGACAACTGGCGACGTTAAGCTCAATGGTTGGGTTGCGATCAGGCTTCACAGCACTTCCCAAAGCTGAAATTGCACAGAAAAAGTTTACGGTGACAGCTTGGTGGTCTTCTCACTGTTCATTTTCCGATTCCTGTGATTAATCCAGAGTGCTTCAAGAGTTTTCCGCGACGGTGTTTTCTAATCTTGTGCGAGGAACGGAACTTCCACTTCAAAATTTGAAATGCGAAAAAATCAATGCTATCTGAAATATTGAATATATTAATAACACATCAATATATTCGATGTAGCATAATTTAATCCGTAATAATAGTTCAACCACAATAATTAATGATAATCCTCCCAACGGTTTACCGCCTCATCCTGGCTGGTAGGTGTTCGTGGGTGTCAGACTGCGATGTACAGCGGGGAGATTCGACAGCTCTGCAGAGTCTCTCAAACTGAGAAGAGGTTCGGCGTTTCCATTAGGAAACCTAGCTAAGAGTAAACCAATACCAGGATATACCACCGTCTTGGTATCAAAGTCGCACGTGGCAAATCTCCGTTGATCCACAAGGGCGGCGATTGCCTGTGGTAGTGAAGACCTGATGCAGACTTTGTCCAGGCTGGGCTCAGAATTCCAGGGAGCCACAACGGCTTAACCAGCAAATCTCCGAAAGTTGGTGATTATGCTGGGGTCCGCACAACCAGTGAGGATAGACCATTCAATTAATCAAGTAAGCAAAATTAGGTAAGAAAATAGTTATGGTTATTTAAAATTCGCATTTAAAATCGGACGTTTCATATGTTACAACCTAATAAATAAAGACCTTCATAAGCTAAACTGAAGCTTTATAATCCAAGTAACGTCATTCTATAAGGATTTTAACATTTCACCAAAGCCAGACAAGCAGGTTAGACGTTTTTACTCCCTCGAGCATGTTGTACGAAGATTAGAATGAGACAACATGGGTGTGATAATCAATGGTCGGCAATTACACCGTCTTCGTTTTGTCGATGATATAGTTCCTATAGAATTAAGCACTTGCCAGGCGATACGAATGCTAGCCGATTTCGACTTCTCTTATAAAAAAAATTGTCTTTGACTAGATTTCACAGAACCGGTGTTCATGAAGATTGGGTTTGTTCCCTATACCTCATCCATGCTCCCCAAAATCAATATCTCCCAACTATGTTTGTCTGTGCCGTGAGCTAAGCATAATGACCAACTTAGCGGCAGATTTGTGCTGGAGGAAGAGAGTGAGTTGCGAAGCTTTCTTTAGCACCGACTATGTAGTGTTGAGAAACCTGGACAATATGCATGAAGGATGAAAGATCACACAACGTTGTACCGTCGAACGGACGACGTTAGGGGACTCCCGTGTCATATAAGTGAAAGAGGGAATCTGAATTCTTGATCTACGTCAATGGTCAGAAATCAAAGACACCGCCCTACCGCTCCATACGCCAGCGTGTCAAAAAATGGCTGGACCGGGTACGCGATGTGTCTAGATGTCAACCGATGGACAGGAGCTGTTTGGCAATAGATTCTTTGTGGTGAGAGGGAAGGGAGAGTGGGTTGCAAGGGGAGCGGGGGCGGAGGTGTCAAACACACAGAACCACAGAAGGAAGACCACCGATGCGATGGTCAGAGCCTTCTATGAGAGCCTAGGAAAAAGATATAATGCCCAAAGGCTCCCTAGAACGAGCAGAACTCACTGAGCTACTCTTGCACGAGACAGTTAGAAACAGGTTTAGTTGTTCCCAGTCAAGTTATTCAACGCTCAACAGGACGATAGGTGATCCAGGTGTACATCAATGATGCGGTCAGTAACTCGATTACTCAAAGGTATCAAACGCTCTATCTTATAGAGTGCTAGCTGTCGATATCCTTCACAATTAATGTTGCGGATGGATTGCTTCTTCTGTTTGAATACCGGAGCAAGAGTTACGAAGGCTCTTTCTGGTAAGTGTGATTTTGTCCATTACTTTTGCTTTTTGTCTTTTAATATCTTTTTTTAGTAGCTCTTACGAGGGCGTTTTCTTGTTTAGTGATTACTTACTCTGGCTGGTCCGATTTCACACTGATGTACAAACTCAAAATATTATTAGAACAGACTTCTTGTGGTTCAGTTATAGGCTTACATCGCCATTCCGTAAATTTTGCATAA